GGCTTATTTAACTGTGACATTTTTTAAATTAACATTTTAACAATGACTGCCACAACATGTACCGCCGGGACATCAATTACAGAGCGTATTACGTATAAACGGTACATTTAAAGTTAGCTAGCGTTTTACTTCCGCTTTTCGGTGGCTGCTAGCTAGGTTAGCCTAGCCACCCCTCCCCCACGCCACAGTTAGCAGTTAGCAAGGTGAGGTGTTTTTCGTCGTATACTTACTTCCCAATCATGTCACAGATACCGTTACTCAAATCCGCCATGGTAGTTAAAGACTGTGGTTTTCCTTCTTTCTCGCGAGCAAAGCAATGACTGTTCAGGATCCGCTGGAGGTTGGATTTTACCATCCGGCCTCGGGTAGAGACACGACGGGCTGACTGCTCTCTGCTATGCTCACCAAGCTAATGAACGATCGGTGAGTCCGGAGCTGGTTCAAAAACCAGGAGTGAAGTCACCCGCAGTGAAGGTTACACGTTTCCGTTTGGTCGCTTCACTCGACTTCAAAATAAAAGTCAAAAGAATGGAAAATGTTTTTATTTGGGGTCACACATGATTAAAAGTGTACCTTTCGATTCAAACAACAGATGTTACATGGGGAACTATCGTTAAAAGGTCTTTATTACTGGAAATCGAATACAGAAGAGACATGTGATAACTGATCACAGATAAACATCCCATTGCAGACATGATAAAGAATGTTAGATTACCAATTAGCCTACATCATCAGTGCCTGTTGCTGCATTAATAAAATAATTCAACCATCCTATCTATTACAAAACTAAATAATAAGACTTATTTTAATGTATTGTGTATAGTAATTTCTCTGGACTGTAGCCGTAATTTTCAGAACAATCAGATTATGAATCCACTCGATGTTTTGACCAATTAATGACCTTTCTATTATTTGGATGTTTATACTTCATGTATGATTTCTTGCAAATCATTTGTGTAAATTTTACTTCCCAAAATGAAGATCTAAATGATGTTTTTTACAGCCTTCTCTACACTGCAAGAATACTGGTAGAGAAATACTGAATCCTTTTTTGTTGTCTTAAAAGTAGACAAATTTAAAAATGCTGAGTTTAAAAAATATTGGAATCATCCAACATATTTTAATTATAAAATGTTAATGCTCCCAGGTTGATAAAACCCCAAATTCTTGCAATGCTTATAGAGCAAAATTATTGATTGTGTGGTTGTATGTGATTATATCAATTCAGTAAGGTAATGTGTATGCGTGTGTGCATCACTACTCCGTTGCTTATCTGGAAATGACACATGGTGTTTTGACAAAATAATCAAACTTACTAGCTTTTTCCAAGCTTTTAAGTGCAGTTCATGGTCTTCATTAAGGGCTTGAGATGAGTCCGAAAGACACAAAATAGTAGTTAGTGGACCTTGAGTTAAGATTATCTGTAAAACTACAATTTCTTCCCTAAAGCAAATACTAAAGCAAACCTTGTGTTTTCTTACTTGTCCTGATTTCTATTGAGAGTACACTTAATGTTAGTGGGACTTCTGCAGATCTACACACATTTGAGCAATATACAATAGAGACAGGTGTTCTTGGGTTTGGTCCCTCTGCATGCTATAATATTATTACATTATTAGCCATTATTCTGGTCTGCCTAACAAATAATGTTACAAAGAAGTAACAACCCAAGCTAGGTTCAACTCTAATGACCCTCTGTTTAATTTGGCTTTATATGCTATGAAAATACAGTGCAAATCCCTATAAAATTGGTAACCTATGTTCCCATTTAAAATAAAACCCATGACTTTTATTTTGAAAGCGGAAGACATGGTAGCTTATACCTAGCTTCACATTTCTGCTAACAAGCTAACGCTAACCAGAAACGCTAAATGCTGAAGATGCTTGTAAAGATCGTAACTTCACCAAAGAAAATTAACTGGCTCAGTCCTATGAACACTTGTAAAAAAAAAATAAAGACAGTAGACACTAGAGTGCCGTCGCTAAACTTAGCTTATTATGTATATAATTCAATTAATTTTAATGTCAAAACAAACTACGTGCTCTTCTCGCTTATTCCCTTTAGCAAAACAAATAGTTTAGCCGTTACGCTGTGTTAGCCGCCGTTAGCCTAGCAGCTATTTACATGACGGCGTCTAATGGAAAAGTACTGAGCACAGAGGAAAAACAAAGACATTAAAGGCCAATGATTTCCATATGCTTATTTACCCCGGTATCATTTGGACACTTAGCCCATAAAAAAGCAATTAGTTTATTTATTTATCAGTGTAGCTTGTGTGTTTTGGTATTTTGCAGTGGGGGAGTAGCCTACATTACTAAACTTAATATTGTCATTTTAGGCTTGTGCTTATACTCCATTATATTTCAGTGTTAAATAATATAGTTATTCCTTTACATTTTTTGACAACTTTAGTTAGGTAGTATTGTTTGGTGCTGCTATTTTACTTAATTATCAGGTTGTAATCCCTATATTTTATATTTCACAAACTCTACTCACATAAATGGACGATAATGAGGTGTAACAAACTTAAAGTATTACTTGGAACTCTAAAACTTATACAAAATGGTGACATGATAAAAGTCAGTGTTCAATTAGTAATGAATAAAGTGTGTATTGTGAGGCCAGTACCTCTCGTCTGCGTTTCCCATTTCGTCCACACGGTGGTGAGAAAGCAGCAGAAAACTGCATCGCACCAGTGTCAAATCACATCACATCATAATCTTAGTTCAACCAGCAACAACATAAATCCAAGCCAATTAAATTATAATGACATCAGTTCTTTATATAAGGCCACTAAATGCACATTTCATATATATTTTTTTTACAAATATAAAAGAAAGGTTCGACTTCTTTGGACAAAGTAATTGAAACACCTTTCAATACAATGCATTACCATACATTTAAACACCACATTGCAGACTTGAAATGAAAGAATAGGCCTAAGTGAGTCAACTTCAACTCCAACTCCAAAAATCAAATGTAATGAGGTTAAATATAAATATGTACCAAAGTACCGTTTTAATTTTGATATACTTGAATATTTCCACCCCCTGCAACTTTGTACTTACACCACATTTCAGAGGAAAATATCCAGACCACCTACAACATTAAACGCTGCTTAATAATAGACTGGTAGTACTCTTCTTATTTATATCCTCTCAAATGTTTTCCGAAATTTTGCATTGTTCCTTTAACATGAACTCAATGAACCCCTCTTCACAAGTAGGCTAATGCAATCCAACAGAAAAGCCCAGATGTGTCGAGTCATATTAATATAAACTGAATTATTTGAAACTTTTATGCAGATAGAATAGTGTCTTTCCGAGTGTACTGCATATTATTGCATTATTATCATTTACATGAAACTTGCTAGCAGCCAGTCAGCTGAGCTTGGGACAAAGAAGGCTTGCCCCAAAGCAAAAACAATCCTACTACCAGAAGCTCTAAAACTCGCTAATTAACGTTAGATGTTACTTGTTTAATGATCCACACAAGGGAGGAAGAGTAAAAATGACGAGGTGTGGGATGACAGGAGTTATGTTCCAGATTATTGCTGTGGCATGTGGGGCAAGTGCTCAGTAACTTCCTGGAGCTGCGGGGTGGGAGTAGGTGGGTTTCGTTTCCGTTAGGGACTGTTCGTTACTTATGAAGGGGGAGGGGGTGGTGCAAAAAGGGGGAGGCATGTCAAAAAAAAATAAAAAAAAATTAAGCACTATGGAGGTAGTTTTGCTTTTAATTTCTATCTTAGGAGAGGGGCATACAAATTAAAATGGTGGTATTTTGTATTTATTTTAACACCAATTTTTAAAGAAAACATGCCCTCCAAACACGTTTTCTTTTAAAACCTGCAGGCGTACTTTTTTAATCGCCAAAGTTACACCATTTATCATGGCCAGAAACTGTAAAAACAGAAATAACTTTTGGATTTTCACATTTCTGAAGTTAACATTTTGTGCTACAAATGCTTCTGTCAGAACCCCCCACTTTATTCTAGGTCTCATTTCAAATTTGGCCAAAAATAAACCTAACCAGCATGCATGACAAGAGTGAACATCCAAGACTTTTTTCAATTCTAGGATTTCATCTTCAAAATGTAACTCTTAACTTTAAAACATAATTATTTTTTTATGGTTTGGGGGCCTGTGAGTGTGATTTTTGTTTTGTCTTGCCCTGGCAATTTTTTGTTTTTATTCCCTTTTTAATATATATTTATTTCACTGTCAATTTTAATGTGTTAATTTATTCAAATTTTATTTTATTATTTTGATTGTTTTATGGTGGAGTGGGACTGGTGCTGTATCCCCTCTTGTACGGATCTGTATTAGCCTGTTTGTGTTATTTTTGTTGGTCAAGACTGAATGTCTCATTTGACATCTAGAACCGTCATGTACCAACCGAACCCAAATCAATCAAAATTTGACTTATGAAAAAAACAAAAACTTCAATAAGTCAAAGGGTAAAATTTAAAAATCCAGTATCTACTTCATGGTGGAGGGAGGGTCATGCATTTTCTGCCTACCACTGAGGGAGGCTCAAGGAAAAATATGTGTCGCTTCGGTGAGGGTAGGTAGGGAGGGTCAAGTAAAATAGATAAATAAATAATAATCATATGATAATAATAATGATAAATAAATTTTAAAAAAAAACAAAGTCACCCCAGTTACAACCCCTCCTCTGAAAGTAAAGAACAGTCCCTAAACTAAGCTAAACAGCTGATGGCTAGTTTGTTATTTAGCATAGTTAGCAAGAGAGTGAACATTTCCCTTTATGACGAACTATTCCGTCAAAATGTCACAAGACAAATGCCAGCTACTTATCTACTTAATTTTATCCTGTGCTCATGTCATGTGGGAGAACCAGATCCCAGTGTGTGGAATATCATCTCTCCTCCTCTGCTTTTCATTTTTCAAGCGCCTCAGTCGCCCGCCCTCTCACTCAAGTTTGTCCCTCAGTGCGATCCGTCGGTCGTCTAGAGGAAAAAAAAAAAAGCGACGCCTGAGAGCGACGCTTGCAGCTGATATACCGCTGGCTCAAAAATGGAGAGCGACACCACTGTCAGGAGAATAAAACCCTTCGGGACACAGAATTATGTAGCGCAGGACAACGACGGTTCCCGGGTCCGGTGTGGGGATAACGGCTACAACGGTGACCCGAAGAGGAAGCCCGAAGTGAGCCTATATCTGCTGCGGGAAGGGCTGGCAGCTTCCCTGGTCTCTGTGTTTATTTTGGTGCTGTGGGGACTTGTTCATTTGTCGTTACAGCAGCTCGTCATTGGAAAGCCAACAGGCGACTTCAACGCAGTGAGAGCCAGGTGAGTTTTGTACCTAACACTCACCTCTTTGCTGTTTGTATGTTGGCTAACGGTCTCGAAGAAGCAGAGACACAGCTAACCTTTCCTCTAGTTGGGCAACAGACCCGCCTAGAAACCACTACCGGGTGTCCCCTCCCCTCCACCTACACCTCCACCTATTACCTCCAAGGTAACCTGTGGGGCGGACAGGTGTTTTGAACACCAGTTCAGCTCAGGAGAGAGGAGGTGCAGCAGCATGTAGCACTGGTCTTTAAATAATGTAGCCTCAATCAAGTCAAAGTCTCCTGCGTGAAGCTTGCATAATGACCCCATGATGCAATAACAATAATATTACTCCATAAACTTAATTTAAACCTGTTATAGATGTTTTGACAGTTAACGTAACATGGCAAGTTTATTTTTATGACAGATTTCACACCCAAAAGAAATACAAAGTGTCTCACATAATGTAGGTAGACATTAAACAGGAAGTGGGTTATAAACAAAATCAAAAAGACAGGAAAAGGACAATAAATTATTTGAGTCATTGCATAAAAACTAAACCGTAAAGGCTTATCAAAGTCTCATTGTACACATAGCTCTTGCATCTACATGTAGTTAGTTGTTCAGGTTAATATCAAGCTAAAAATCCCAAAGATTTGTGAGAAATTTCTGCTGTTATCAGTTTAAAATCATTGTAATCTAAATATCTTGCAATATGAAGATGCCAATATGGGCTCTGGGTAGTCGTAATGGTCATATCTTACTATCTTCTAAGTGATTATACAATCATTTAAAAAAATAATCACCAGGTTGATTGATAATGAACATTATTAGTGGTTGCTGCCCTATGATTATGGGCAGTAGTCTATTATATTTGAGCGACAATACAGAATTTATTGTGAAAATCAGCAATTGTGCACGTTTATTAGTACTTCCACAAATGGTGAGGAAAAACTTGTCTTTCTGTTTCACATATTTGTCTCTCCAATGCCTTTGTTTTTTCTGACTTCTCAGACAAAATGAGCAATTTCAAAGCCTCACTTCAGGTACTCGTACATTTAACAGAACATGAATATGAACATTAAAAAATAATCCAACACATATAAGACAGATTAATAGATAATACAATGCAGCCTGTGTGATTATAGAAACCATTATACATCCTGTTCTTTCTAAGAAGATGCAACATTTTCAGATTAAAAAGCACAGGGCGACAGCTTTTATCAGATTTCCAGTCCCTGCGAGAAAGAGAGATGGGGATTATGGTGCTGAATCTGAGGTCCGCAGGGCTGCGGTTGAGCTCTTGAAAGTGCTTGGCGATGGGATTTGCCATCATTTGGCTGGTTGCTCTATAAATGAGTCAGGCATGCTGCATTGAACTGATTAGGGCTCTGAGCTTCTTTGGTCACAATCATGGCTTTGTGAGTCCATGCCCTGCCAGTCCAGGTTTGAATTATGAGCCTGAGCATAAAACAATGCCTCAGACGCTGCTGTAGAAATGAAATGAAAGCCAGAGTTTAGATGTCTTTAATGTCATTTGGTACCACTTAATCACTACAACAAAGCTAAAACATATTACAACATATTAGGGAGGACTTGTGAAAAGCAAAGGAAACACAAGCATTTGATGCATTTGATCGATGCTTGTAATGAGACCAACACAAAGCCTCACCCACCATGGTTAGATGACAGACATTATATTGTTGACTCCACTGTGAGCATCAGCCAGCACAGCAGCACTTCTGCTGGTGTGGGCAGTGGAGCTTCTGTAACATTGGCCTTTTTTGAACAGCTGCAGCAAACATGACCGGCAGCTGCTTCTTTAAAGAAAAGTTGAGGAAAAGCATCTGTTTTTCCTTACTATATGGGTTGCTTGGCTTAATTTCCTGTTTCTATCTCCTGAGGGAGTCTGTGCAGAGACGAGGAAGATCAGGTCAGACTTCTACAGAGACATAGGATATTATAACCTGAGCAGGTCAGGGCAATGGTCCAGACTCAGGACATAGAAAACATACTGTAACAAAGACAGACTCTGATTGTTTTTAAAACAATCTGAAAAAAGTCATTTTATTTCTCGTTCCGTCTTTTGTGGGGTCATCTTTTTCATCTTGGAAAGATCCTCTCTTCTCAGTTCATTATGTCGAAGAGGGATGCCACCCAATTTGCTAATCCCTCAACTTCAAGACCTCCAGTCAGTGTTTGTGAAGATGTCCCACTCTCTCTTAAAAAACCTGAACTTTTGATGTAATATGTAGGACTGCAGATGACAATTATTTCCATTATTTATTAATCTGCTGATTATTTTCTCAATGAAGTGAGTAATTGTTTGGTTTAGAAAATAGTGAAAACTAGAATGTCTATCCAGACTCATATGTAGCCATGACAGTTGACAATGTTCCTTCAGATATGGAGGTGCTGCAAAGAAACAACAAACTCTAAAACGTGGATGCTTCACACACATCTTCAACCCGGCAGCACAGAAGATCTGTACAGTCAGCACAGTTTCAAGACACCCAAGATTAGTGTCACCAATTCAGTATTCAACCAAATGTCTCCCCGTCTGTCCCTGAGTTATGACACTGAATAATGACCAGAAATGACCTCTTTGGACAGAAAATATCATAACTTCTTTTAGACATTTGTGTGAAATTTTGTCATTATTAGCCTATGAATTCTTGAGTTATGGCCCTGTGAGGTCACAGTGACATTTTACCACTGAAATTAGTTTTAGTTTTAATCTAATCAGTTCATTGTTGAGTCCAAGTGGACGAAAAAATTCCCTTAGGGTGATTTTGAGTTATTATGTTCATGAGAATGAGACGGATGGTGTACTAGTGACCTTGACCTTTGACCTTTGTCAGCCATAATCTAATCAGTTCATCGTTGAGTCCAAGTGAACATTTGTGCCAAATTTAAAGAAATCCCTTTCTTGTGATAGGGACTGAGACCGGCTGACGGACACACATACACACAACCTGAAAACATAATGCCTTTGGCCACGGCTATCACTGGCGCAGAGGCATAAAAATTATCACAATTTACTTGAAAGGATGCAAATCGTCATATTTGAGAAGCTGGAATCACAACATTGGCTGTCATTTTTGCTTGAAATATGACTTTATTGATCATGATTTATCAATTACAAAAATTCTTTCCAGTTTATCCTCCGTTGATTGCCCAATGGATTAAGCAACTGTTTGTTTCAGCTCTAGTTGACGGAATCAGAGCATAAGTTCCTCCATATCCAGCGTTACGTATACTGTCTTGAAGTCACCAATAAAACTCTAATATCAGACTGTGTTGTATGTAGTGGCATTGCTAACCTGTAGAAAACCTCATTTAGAGTATACAACAGTATTTTGGCTAAAGTGCTCACAGTTATCACATCCAGCACAGCTTTCATTGTCTGACATAAGTGAAAAAAAAAGATGCGAGTCTGTAGAGATATCTGAACTTGAACCTGGTTTCATTTCGTCATTTAACTGTCAGCAAGCAGAAGTATCTGCAATTGTTGCACTTAAGTATGTCCTCTCTCCTGAGTAGTGCATCTGTAAAATTTAGAAGAGGTGTTTCTTTCACAAACTCACATGAGCAAACTGTGTCTGTCAGCAAAAAACACCCACGCCATCAGGAAATGTATGTAACCTCGTTTAAGTTTTGAAACCTCAAGGTAGTTATAAAATCAAAGCTATGGACTGTGACCTCATTCAGCCATCCGTCCATACATATGTACAATGATTCACTGTCTGTAACAATAGTAACATTGAAGAGCAGGACATTAATAAGATGCTACACTGCTGTGATGGAACAAGTAGACTTGGTTTTCCACCCCATCAAAGTTTAACAGCATCCCAATGTTCTCTCTCCCTGTTCTCACTCTTACCTCATGATCTAGACGGCACTTGGAGCAGATCACCAGAGTCGGCCCTCGGCCAGTGGGCAGCCAGGAGAATGAAGTCCTGACAGTCAGCTACTTGTTGGAGCAGATTGAGAGCATCCGGGCAGAGACCGCAGCGGGTCCCCATCAGCTCACGGTGGATGTGCAGCGTCCCACTGGCACTTTCTCCATTGACTTTCTTGGAGGCTTCACCAGCTTCTATGACCGGGTCACCAACATTGCTGTCAGGCTGGAGCCTAAGGGTGGGACGCAGCATCTCATGCTAGCCAATTGCCACTTTGACACAGTGGCTAACAGTCCAGGTACAAAAACTTTCCTCCTTCTCTTGAAGAATTCTGCCTACTGTAGGTGAGCTCTGACAGAAGGCACTGACACTGATGAATATTGAGCTTTAGACAAACAGGTTCAGCACTCAGTTTGCATGTAGGCACATGCAGAAAGCATTCATACACCTGCCAAACTTAAATTACCCGAAAGAAAAGGGCTGTCAAACATCAATCTCCTATAACTTCTCAAATCTGCTGTTGCAACTCTTTAGAGCTATCTTGTGCTGTTGTGTCTCATTTTGGGTTTAACTGCTGTGTCCTGTCCTGTGACTCATCTAAAGAGCACTTTACAGAAAATTCCTTTGTTTTTTTGTATGGCATTGGCATGGCAGCATGACTGTAGCGGTGTCAGCCTGTCGGTCCACCACTTCGGTACAAACTGAAATACCTCAACAGCTATAGAAATTACCTTGAAATTTTGTACAGACATTCATATTCTGCAGAGGATAAAGCACACTGACTTTGTTGATTCCCTGACTTTTACTGTAGCGCCACTATGAGGTTCTCATTTGTGGTTCCCAGAAAATGCACTTCAAACTCTGATCCCTTCACTTTTAATCTAGTGCTATCATCAAATCAAAATTTTGAGACATACTTTGATTCGGGGTCCGTCGATACAATCTTGATACAGGATATCGGGCCGATAGTGACTCAGATAGCTGGTATTGGTGATAGTTGGGCCAGTCTATTCAATTCAATTCTATGTTTGCATTTTCAGCTACTCTATTATTTTATATGGGCATTTAAATTCAGTGTGCAAAAGCATGTAAATGGTTACTGAGTAACAGGGGGCACCATGTTTGGTATCCTCTGCTACCACTGTGTGAATGTGTGTGTGAATCGATGAATATGACGTAGTGTAATAGCGCTTTGAGTGGTTGGAAGACTAGAAAGGTACTATACACCTACAGTCCATTTTCCAGGCAGTCCATTTGGTATTGGATTGGTACCTGGTATTGGCTGATAACCAAAGCCTAGGTATTGATATTAGAACTGAAGAAGTCTGATCGGTGCATCCCCAAACTAAACACCTGCAAACTAATGACATTCCCATCAGCCTCAGCTGTACCCTGAGTTTAGTGCTAATTAGCAAATGCTAACACGCTAAAACCAAGATGGTGAATATGTTTAACATTATACCTGCTGAATATCAACATGCTAGCCTCGCCATTGTTAGCATGCTGATATGAGCATACAGGTTTAAGCATCTCTGTGTCATGGACTCCATGACAAACCTGCATTTTTCCTGTCACAGTGTGCACAAGCCATGTGTTTTTCATCATGCACGTCCTCATGTGTTTTATGATGATAATACCCCCATCTGTGCACTATAGTCATGTGGACCAAACTGTGAAATGTAGCCAATCCAGAAAATTCTGATGCCAAAGGGAATCATATCTAGACCGCACGGTAATAACAGTGTTTGTTGATGATAGATAACACGGTCTTAATTTCTTTGTCTTTTTGTTAAATCAGGAATTTTCACTGCTTCGCTCCACACCCTCAAGCCTTTTGAGGGACATATTTTCCCACTTAAAACGCACACATGCACACAAACGTGCACACACAGCCTCACCAGCAAAAGGAAATTCAGCCAAGAGGTGTGGACCAGGAAGATACACATTCACGTCCACTGCTGCCTGCCAAGCCTTTGATTCCTGGGAATTCTAAACACTTTTTTATGCTAAAAATAATAAAGGGGAAAAAAAGAAAGACTAAAGGGATAGCTCTGTGTCTTGCACATATTTTTGTCCACATGTTTAATGCACGTAAATATGGTCAGCACAGCACACTGATGATAGAAGTCAGAGTAGTTATGATTACTTTATTTCTGGTGCACAGGTGAACCATTGAGGTTTGATTTGTACCCGCCATCTTTTTAACTCTCACAGAGCTTTTCGGGGACAAGGATTAATATGTAGCTGATATAAGTGACAGCGACAGGAGCATGAATGGTACCCAGACAGACAGCGAACAGACTCCCACCCCCACCTCGTGAACTCATTCAAGACAGAAAGCTGCAGCACATGATGTCTCAGTTTTACTCTCTGATCTTTGGGCATTTATTCCCAGTAAACTGTGTCCCTTACCACTAACCTGTCTAATCTTTCTGCATCACATGCCCTGTTCACGTGTTCTTTTCTTCTCGCTATTACCCTTTTTCCTTTGTGTTCACCAAAGCAGTGGGAGCTCTTTTTTTTTTACCAGCTAGGCGCATTCTTCACATGTTTGCACTCAGAGCCTACACCCTTCATTCTCATGTGTTTGTGTTAGTCTAATGTACATCAATGTTATCGGCTCTATCTCCTGCATGTGTTCTAATCTCAAACTGAGCCACTGTGTCGGGACAGGCAGGTGATCTGGGTGAACGATCGCATGTCTTTGTGTGTAAATGCCAGGCGAAGCTGAGCTTCTGTTGCCTGATACAAATGTGAAAAGCAGGTAGGAGCAGGTTTTCTTTTAGTACTTTTTTGACACACATACACTGGTTTCCTTGTCTTAGGTGCCAGCGATGATGCAGTGAGCTGTGCAGTGATGCTGGAAGTCCTCCATTCTCTGGCCAACCAGTCTACTCCTCTTCATCATGGAGTTATTTTCCTCTTTAATGGGGCAGAAGAAAATATCCTTCAGGTGAAATGAAGTGACAAGAACACATGCTTTACACTTTGAAAGTCAGACAAGCCTGTCGTCACCACTTTGGGTTGTCATTTAATATGAAAAAAAGTGCCGTCTTTTTTTGTTTGTCTTATTTCTTCCGCTACATTCTTATTTTCTCTCTCACTAACTCTTTGCTCTGTTTTTTTTTGTTGCTTTTCTCCATCAGGCCAGTCACGGTTTCATTACTCAGCATCCGTGGGCCAAGCAGGTGCGGGCTTTCATTAACTTGGAGGCTGCAGGTGTTGGGGGCAAGGAAGTTGTTTTTCAGACAGGTACTGTACCAAACGAACTTTTCCAGTTTGTTTATTAGCATTTTCTATTCTTAGGAGTTCTCTGTGTTTATTTTGCATGTTTTTTGCATTTGTGCCAATGCCATTTTTGCTGTTACAGAGATCTACTGTCTGACGTTGAGACAATGTTGCAGTGTACATTAAACGCCCTTGTTAAAATCATTTGCATTCTGGCATGCTACTACTATTCCGTATCTATATGGATTACCAGCAGCCTTATTATGATTCCTGAGGTGCCTGTAATATTATATTTATATTTTAGACACTATCTGATGCACGTACTCTATACATTAAACAAGCTTAAATGCCTACATCACTAAAACCACGAAGAGGAAGTAGTTAAGACAGCAGGAAGCAGAGTTATAGTACTCTCATAGTAAAACCTTCTTTTACACAATGATTGTTCTTTTTGACAGAACCTAGGAGAGTGAGATAACTGTCCATTATCTAAAATATCCCAGAGACCTTTTCTTTCTTTTCCCAAAAGGTCCAGAGAACCCGTGGCTGGTCCAGGCCTACGTTCACGCAGCGAAACACCCCTTTGCCTCTGTGGTCGGCCAGGAGGTCTTCCAGAGTGGCATCATCCCCTCTGACACTGACTTTCGCATCTACAGGGACTTTGGTAACATCCCAGGTAATGCAGACAAAGTCTTAAAATGTCTTGAAATACATATTTACCAATAAAAGGCATTATATTGTCTTAAATTCAGATTGGATGGGTCTTAAATTTTTTTGATTCATGTCATCGTGTGAACTTCCTTTGTTGGCGTTTTGAGAAACACCATGTTAACAGGAGGGAAACACTGTTCGATAGGGGAATAGACTTCGACATCACACCTGTATGTGTGCAGTGTCTCTGTTTTTGCCCCCTCTTTGCACTTAGTTCAATGATACAGACCCACTGCGTTATCTGAGGCCTTGTTAGTTAGACTGCTTGTTAGTTTATGTAAATGGTCAAATTGAAGTTTAAGATAAATGACTTGAGAATTAAGATTACCTCTAGTGATTGTAACTAGTTCCTGGAAATGCATACAAAGTAACCTGCACTGTATGCTAGAGGTGTTTCAAACTTGGGACAATGGGGGGGTCAAGGCAGTGGAATTGCACATGCAGAGCCATAAGCACACGGAGCACTGGTTCCCAACTGGTCCAGCCACTTGGTCCAGATTTCTCCTTAGTCATTAGTTCAAGGTCCACACAGTTTATTAGGTTTAGTGTCATACTTGTGTTTGGGCATGCCATCGAGTTGGTTTGCTGTTTGCAGCAGGAAACAGCACTTTAAAATAAAAACTCTGTTGCGGAAATTCACCGTATTTAAAAATAAAGTGTGTTTTTTACAGACTTGATACGAATCACTTGCAGTCCATTCAGAATGGACCTGTGACCCACTTTTGAACCGTGACCAGCCATTTGGGAACCGCTGACATAGCGTATCATCAGTGTCATCTTGCCTTACTGATAATTTTAAACTGGCATCAATTTATTTTCTTATACGGAGAATATTTTTCGGTTTTGGTGCATCTTTCCATCATAAGTTTGTTCCCAAATTTTGGTGGTTTAAGTGGTATTAAAAATGTCTTAAAAAGTCTTACATTTAGCTTGTTTAAAGCTGTAGACACATTGAGTACATTATAGAAATTAGTAATGGAAGTTTAGAGCCTTTCTTTGTCACAGTGAAAAATGATAATCTGGTGCAAAGCAGAGATGCTTTTATTGTTTGTCTTTTTCGCCCTCCGTATTCCATGTTTTATATCTTATTCTGTGTATGTTTGTACTTCATTTTTACAGGCATTGACTTGGCTTTCATTGAAAATGGTTTCATCTATCATACAAAGTACGACACTGCTGACAGGATTCTGACAGACTCGATACAGAGAGCCGGTACGCAGCACACACATACACCTACGTATCCCTACGTGTGCCAAACTTAAATAGGTGTCACCTTATGCTTTTATTTGACACTCATTGCAAATAGATTGAGTGTTTGTTAGTGGGTGGGTGTGCCCGATTGTCAAGGAGAGAGCGGTCACTGCAGCATTAGACTGGTGCACTCAGCTGATCTCATTATTTCCCCGAGAACTAAGAAATGCATTCACGTATATACATTGCAGCTACAGACTTTTACTGTTTCACTTGCCCTCATTTACCTCGTGCATCTGTGTTGCTGAATTATTTTTGCTTTACTTAGCAGAGAATCTAGTCAGTCAGCACTAAAAACCTGAGACAGTTGGCATCTTTCCTCTCTCCCTCAGCAGCTACTGGACATCTCCCTCCTCTCATTCTGTGTACAGTAACTAACTGTGAAAGGCATGAATTATTAGAGAGAGAAAGTGAAATTTCAGAGGTAGGTAGAAGGTATTTTTAGTCTGTAGAGAAGGATGCAGAACAGTTTTGTATGGTGGAGAGTAGGTACAGCACAGGGGCAACGGAGGAGGGAGATACACCAGTAGCTCTGCTCTGTTGATGCCTCTGATGAACACAGCAGGTTTTTTGGCCTTACCCGCCTCATTCATATCTCTTTTTTCCCAGCTCTGCTTTTCAATAAGTGGGAAAAGTTGAAGGCTAGCATTGCTCTAGTGTAGATTCACTTTTGTTCCAAAGCTGGATCTATTTTTAAAGCTATTGTGGCGATATATGAACAAGAGCATGGCAATCTAACTGTTGTAAATGTTACTGTGAAATAAAATGTCATTTCTTGTTGAAATCAGAAATTAAAGCCGTGGGTAAATCACAAAGCAGAATCATGTAGCTAAGCAGTGAACCCAACATGAACAAGTAGATGTTGTACACTCAGTTGTTTACACTTTAAGGCCACAGTGAGCCTACCAGGCGGAAGAACAATGAAGCTTTGTCTCGTGTGTGTGTGTGTGTGTGTGTGTTTGTGTATGTGTGTGCCGTTAACTGTGCAGACATGCAGGCAGCAGTACATAGGGCAACACAGATAAAAGAAACTCGGCCTCGGGCAGCAGTAACCCAAACAGCGACTTCTCTCTGATCCTTCACGTCGCCAAATTTTTCATCTACATTCAACATCATGATTCTAGCCAATTCCGTGTGTAGTCCTCTACGTGTCCCGTATACTGGTGTACAGCTGTTGTATAACTATGAGAGGAACATTTAGGCCATAAATCAGACTTGCCCTCACACATACACCGCTATATTCATTGGCACTCTACTGCTTGGGGCATAAAATCATATTTGCTCACCCACATCATACTCTCACACACACCATTAAACATGGCAGTGTAGTGTATCTGAAACAGCCGACTGTGTGTGAGTGAGTGAAATTGTGCTTCGTCTTGCACATATCCTGTCATGGGAAATAATAAAAGTATAGTTGTTTGTTTTAGAGAACAGAAGGAGAGCTGGATGCCGAGTGTTATTGTACATGTACGAGGGTGTTCGAGGTGTGTGTGGGAGAGTTTAGTGTTGTATGTGCAAGACCATAAAGCTGTTTGTTAGAGCAGTGTATGATTTACAGTCTGATGTCTTCTGTACAACAACAACAACAGTTTATATAGTGTAATTATCAATAAAATACATGTTATGTTTGAACTGAATGTAAATATAGTTGGTAATAGGGATGCACCGATTATGAAATTCTGGATTGGTATTGATGTTGGTGTTTAACTTAACAATTTGGCTCATAGCTGATGCCATCACAGACGTTTTTTGTCGTTCATTATTTTGTTTTTGGTGTTATTTATTCCCCTTTTGTGCCAGAGAAACACAGACATCTTCACTATAAAAATAACTAAACTGTTTAAAAAGTCATTCAGTCCTTCATTATCTTTGACTGAGCAAAATTTCAGCTGTACAGATTTATGAAACAGCCTTTAATATAGTCATCTGTCACAGGAAATGACAGCCTCAGATGCCTTTTTAGCCTGCTATACAACTACCTATATACCTATACTAACTACAAGTACTAAAAATACCTTAAGCATCTCTGCCTTGTTGCAGCTTAATCTGCTTCTCTTCGCATCTAAGATGTGAGACTGAGCTGAACAGCTGCTCACTGTCTGTGCTGGTGCATGGAGCACATGGGTATGTCTGTGCCATTTGTGCCAGTACTAGAAAAAAGAGGTGATTATTCCTCCAATATCCGAGAGTGGTCGCTTTTCTGGAAATGGGAACTATGCAAACAACATGTCACTGATCTTTCTTTCTGTAATACCTGCTCCCACGTGGCTGATATTTGCTTTCACTTCTACTTGTTAAGGAGCCACAGGTTTGCACAGGACCTGTTTCGCTCTTATGTCATACCAGAATCTTGTCCAGTCAGCAAATTTGCTTTGCCTAGGATAATGAAGGCATGACCTGCTCTACTCTCCCTCTGATTGGCTATTACCTGTTGCCTTTGTTGCTTGGGTTGGTTAGGTTTAGGCGAGACCGGTGAGATTAATTAGGGTCAGGTTAAGAACGTTAGGGTAAGCCAATCAGTGGCAAGGTAAAGGTTTCGTTATACCAGGAAATGCAAATTCACATCTAGCCAGTTGCTTCTTCTTCGAATTAGGGTTGTCCAAGTCCTTCCGCAAATAGCCAAAACAACATTTAGCTGGTGCAAAATTGATGTGACGTAATAGATGAACACTGGCCACTGCCATTTGTGAATGTCATCTTATTTGCTTATTGGCTGATGGCAGTCAGCAAGGAGAATACCAGCCAATCACTAATGTTCGAACGATAACTTGGTGCATCTCTAGTTGGTAAAGTATCTGCGGATTAAAGCAGAAATTGTAAGGCTCAGTACACAGTAACACACCTTCATTTACTAGTATATTGATTACTGTTCATGTAGACATGGTCTTTTTGCTGCAGCAAACACTGTCTGTATGGTTGTGCAGGAAGAAAAAGGCCACTACCTCAGTGTAGCCTGTCCCTGCTGGACAGAGGGTTATACTGAGTCATCAATAAACTGTGTCCACTGCATATGATGTGTCAGCTCTATAAGATCAAGCCTTTTTTACAGTGAGGTTATCACGTTCATATTCAGTCATATTAACCATTTCCTTCCCCTGATTGTCGGGATAGATGTACAAATGGTGGAAACCAAAAACCACAATAGAGGAAGCTCAGTATTTACTCCCCAGTTTTTCCCTTTCCACGAATTCCTATTGTGTCCTATCCAGTTTGGGTTTTAAGTTAGGATGTCCTGCCTGTACTGTCTGTCTGTCCAGCTGCTGTACTCCTGCTCTATACTGCAGGAAACAATGCAGCTAAATGCAACAGAGCTTTAATGTGTTACATTTCAGCTTTGAACCTCTTCACCTTGAAACTCACTTCCTGTTTTCAGGCGACAACATCCTGGCAGTCCTGAGGTACCTGGTGACATCAGAGAAGTTAGCCGATTCCTCAGAGTATCGTCATGGCAATATGGTGTTTTTTGACCTGCTGGGTGTGGTTGTGGTGGCTTACCCAGCCCGCGTTGGCACCATCCTCAACTACATGGTAGCCACAGCCACCTTCCTCTATCTGGCAAAGAAAGCCTCACTGCCAGGCAATGGAGGTAGGTCGCCATTCCCTATTGTCTATGCATGTTATGCCATTTCCTGTGCTGGATGTGTGTGTTGCATGTTTTCCATTTTTTGGCTTATTCAAGTGTTTTTCTTGCAAACTGTAGAAAAAGAATTGTCCAATCCCAGTTTTCCAAATGTTTTGTCATTTTTCTTTAGAAGATTTGGATGAGCTGTTCTTGTATGGTTGGTTTTCATTTACTTCATTCATCTCCATCTCTCTCAGGTGGACGCTATGTTCGAGAACTGGCCTGTGCGACAGGCGTAGCAGTCCTGAGCTGGTTCATCACCCTGTTGTCAGTGCTGATTGTCGCTCTGCTTGTCACTCTGCTGGGCCGCTCCATGTTTTGGTACAACCACTTCTACGCTTCCATCTGCCTGTATGGTGCTGCTGCCACGGGAAAGATGATCCTCGTTCACACGCTGGCCAAGAACGTGTACTATGGAGTAAGTGGAGAATTCCTTTAAAGGTGCTGTATGTGACATTCACAGCCTTAAACCACTGTTTGCTTTGTAAAGGTATAGTGGAGTAATGGTGTCCTGAGCAGAAAAAAATTTCAAGCTACCTCTGTGAGTGTTGTAATCCAAGCTTCTCTGTGGTTTGTTGTGGTAAGCTGATCGGGGTCTGTGTGCATGCTAGTTCATGAATGTATCCCACTGGCTAGCTCATCACCACCACTTTACACTGCGCTCATACAGCGGGTGCTGATACCAGGACAGCGTCATTGCAGAATTTTTCATCCTCCTATTACCCCCTGGTTAACAGTGTTAGCTCTGTCAGGACTGTTGCCGTTGTGTAGCGCTGTAATGTAATTAGCACTGTTAACTGCTAGCAGCCGGCTCAGCCACCTCCATATTGAGAACCAAGTCCAGACAACTGGTACCTAATGAATTTCGCATTGAGGCCCTTTAAAGAGTATAGTTCGACATTTTTCATCCATCCATTCATCCGTTTTCGTCTGCGTATCCGGGGCCAGGTCACAGGGGCAGCTGGCTGAATAAGATAGTCCAGACATCCCTCTCCTCAGCAACACTTTCCAGCTCCTCTTGGGGGGTCTCGAGGCATTCCCAGGCCAGATGAGCGTTATAATCCTTCCAGCACCCCTGGGCCTCCTACCACTGGTGGTTAGAAATTTTGCTAAATACATTTATTTTCTTTCTCACAGCTAGTCTGTTTCCCCCTAAAAAAATCCACCTTCCACCATCCCTTAAAGAGCTGCTGCCGCTTCCAGTCTTTATGCTAAGTTAAGCTAACTGTCTCTTGGCTCCAGCTTCATATTGAAGAGACAGAAATGAGAATCGTTTCAATCTCCTCATCTAATTCTTGGCAAGAAAGCAAGTAATCCTATTCCCCCAAACGTTTAACCTTTTCTTTGACATTGGACTTTAACTTTAAGAGCAGACATTTTATGTACATGCAAAATTTTGGCTAAGTAGTTTACAGTAAACAATCAAGAATATAACCATGCATTATAAAATGAAATTATTTTAGTACACAGAGCAGCAAAGGTGATAGATGTGGGTATTTCAGATATGAATCATTTCAAGTCACCATCTACTTGATGGTTTTACACCTGTGTTTTATAGTAGGGATTGTTTTTTTTTAAGATCAGAAATTTCTAATATTTTAGATGATGTCTCTGAGTACCCCTGGTCAGTCTTCACTGAATCCTCAGTACAAATAACATATGCCAATTAACTTCAAAGTTGAATAGGGAAATGAAGTGTGAGCCATAAGTCTATACAAAAGGAGAGTGTTAACATATTTGATCAGTTCAAGTGGAAAGAATGTCGACCAGCTGGATGTAGATCAAAATCTTAAGCGATACTTTCCTCCGTTGCATTTTTGTTTATTGTTCGAGATCACTATTCACTTGAGCCTAATATCTCATGTTGACTCACTGAGCTCACATTTAATGGGGACTAAAGTGCAGAGAGGAGAAAGCCAGTTCCTCTTCGTCCCTGGTGGTTACAGAACAACAGCTCATTGTGTGTGATTGCTAAATTGTAGAGGTGTCTGATCAGCAGTCATCTGTCAGTCACATGTGCACAATCATTTGCCAGATAAGAGACTGGGAGCCACTGGACCTGTCTTGCTGTGGTTTTCCAGCTATCAAATGGTAGCATCTCTGCTGATAGCAAAGCCTGTTCTTGCATTTCCAGAGGCAGTCAGAGAGCTCTCTGTGTGTTGTACATTTTGTACATTTTAGGGGCAGCTAGCTGCAATTCAACTGACATATTGTAAGTCTGACATTTAGTAAATATAAGCGTTTATTTGAGATTGAAACCATCACAGAAACTTTATTTTCATCTGAGCTAACCACATAATGAACTCCAGCTTTTCATGGCCATTTTCCAGAAAAGGACACAGACTAACCTTTGTGCCAGTCAGAGCACATAAGGCTTCATCTCCAGTGAAACAAAATCTCTATTGAAAGAGCACAATATATGTTTGGCCTCATTTTTTAAATGGTATTTTCTTTGACAGAAGAGTCTAGAATCAAGCAGACAGACAGACATGAGTCATAAAAGAAGATGAATTGATGCCTGCATCTATAAATGACTAAAATTTTGGCTGTTGTTCATTTGGTCATCTGATTCAGTGGTTTCCAACCTTTTTTTGCCTGATGTACAGTATTGCTTCATCAACACCACCCATCATGTTCCAAATGTGCTCATTTCTATTGATTTTAAATGATATAAAAGTGGATATAATGGTGAATAGTAGAATTTCTTTTCATTCAGTGGAGATGTCCAAGTTAAGATTGGTTTGGTCAAGTTTGCATTTGTATTTCTACCACTTAAAGGAATATTTCACCCCACAAACGAACATTTGTGTAACAATTACTCACCCTGTGTTACGTTAAATTTATGAAGATAATGTTTTTCTTGCATGCCTCTGGTGAGCCTGGCTGTCTTCAAAGCCAGACTCCATTGACAAAACCGTACTTTCACTTCACTGAACACAGGAGTGCTGGTCTACCACTGCCTCGATCAGTTAGTTAGTTTGTATTATTGTGTGACTTTGGTGTTTTAAGGGGTAAATTTGGATACACCAAAGTCACACAATAACACAGACAAACTAAGTGATCGAGGCAGCGGTAGATCAGCAACTCTCATGTTCAGCGAAGTAAAATTACTGTTTTTGTCAGTGGAGTCTGGTTTTGAAGAGAGCATGGGTAAGTTTTACTTTCAGTTCAGTTCCCTTTTGGAAAGGGCTGTCAATTTTGGAAGTACTGAGCATACGACCGGAAAAATGAGACTTGGATTATACTGCAGAGTTGTGTGAGACATTGAAAAAACATGGACCGCTTTTATTTCAACTGATCAAGAATTTTCTTAGGTTTTAGAGTCTTAATTCACTGAGAAGGCATGCGAAGAAAAACAAAGTTTGGGATGAGTAATTGGGATACAAATAATCATGTAGTCGAATAAATATGTAGGTGTGTTCTTTTTTCAAGTCATAAATTCTATTTTACCATAGTAGCTAGCACAATAATTCCATGCACTCCCTGGCAACTACTGAAGTACTCTCTGCAGTACAAGTACCCCTGGTTCAGAGTCACTGTTCTGCTTTAACCACAATGGCTCTGAAGCAGGTAACACAAAAATCATCACTTCTTTGCTGCAAAAGTACATGCAGAGAGTTGAAGCGGTTCTAGTCCCACATCAGTCAAGACCAAAATCCACTGTACAAAGTTCCCTCTTCAGATTTATTTGCATGGCAGTGTTGCATGACCATATGCTGCTGTGCAGATTATGTTTGTGTATAGAGGGGTTTCTATATTACATCTAGTTAAAAAGTCATTCAACCAGAAGGCAACGTGTGAGAGGAACCGGATGAATGCCTCTCAGTGAAGCTGTGATCTTGATGTTAATATTAGTGGAACAATACTGCCTTGTGTACTTGTGGGATGTTGTGCTTCGTAACCAAATATTGCAGCAAGCCTCTCAGTCATCCTACAGTAATGCATGGTGAATTAGGTCAGTGAATTCTTCCTGTAGTAATTAATGATGTTCCTTTTTAGTTTATAGATTTAGTTTCAGAATACAAGTGAGGCCAGGGTGTAAAGTCCCTGCTGTAGGAACTGGGAAGTTTCAAATCAGGTCATTGATTCTTTGTTCCTGTTTAGTATTTATACACAGCAGTCATGATGAGTGAGTGATTGTCTTGTGATTTGTAAAAAGGTGTATGTAATATTACTCGTGATGGATGTTAAGTATATAAGGCCGGGACTGAGGATACAGTCTAGATATAAACACCAGGTATTGGCCAACACACTCGATCTCCTCATGAGCAGCCGATAAAACAACCTCAGCAGCTCTGTGTTATTCCTTAATTAAACAGATGCATTTCAGAGGCTGCTTATCTGATGAGTGAGGAGTACGCGCTGCCATGGCACACACACAAAAACTTTATGCATTCCTCTATGTCAACAAATTTTAATCCCAAGTTTTCTTCTCGTAAAGCAACAGTTAGATTTTTCCACAAATGCACATCAGCTGGTTCCTCGCCTCTCAAAGCAGCATGCATCATAGGGCAACCTCCTCTAATCTGCTCATACATATCCCTTCTATATTAAGCTGCTATATGTGTTCTCTGTGCAGGGTGTCCGTTTGGTGGAGCTGGGCGATCTCTACTTTGACGTGAGCTTGTTGCTGTGGTGCTGCAGCCTGGTGTGGCTGACCCAGCAGGGCCTGTGTTCAGCCTATGTGCCCATGCTAATGGTGGCCTTCCCCCTGGCCACCAGACTGATGCTGGCGAAAGAATTTAAACACAGAGGTAAACACTCAACTCAACTTTATTTACAAAAAATGTTTATATATAGGTATGTAAAAATACTAGAAAGTCACATGGTCAGCTATTTAACTTGGGGCTAAACCATGTTGAGCTCTAAAAGTGATTAAAAGAATCTTAAAATCAATTCTGAAGTTAACTGGCAACCAATGGAGGGAGGTGAGAATTGTGGTGTTATGTGACCCTACAATTTATACCAGTTAGAAATATGAACTGCAGTGTCCTGTACTAGTTGAAGCCGAGCTACTGAAGATTTACTGAGGCATGTAAAACAGTGCATTACAATAGTCAAGGCGCGAGAATACAAAAGCATGAATAAGCTTTTTTTTAGGTCTGGAAAAGACACAGCTGATTTAATTTTGATGATATTTCATAGGTGGAAATAGCAGGATTTAATGAGATTATTGACATGTGGTTCAAAGTTCAATTGAGAATCAAAAGTGATGCCTAAATTTCAGACTCCAGAGATAAAAGTATTATGTTCTGTTGTTGTTCTATGAATCACACAGCTACTTTCATAACTTACACATGTACAACAAAGTTCAACAAATGCGATAAATGCCTCAGAGGAGCAACTGTCTGAAAGTGTGTGTCCCTATCCTCATGTGTACGATACTTTAATGATACTGTTTTATTAGGTTTCCAAGAGTACTTCACCTCCAAAATGACATTTTTTCATCAGTTACTCACTCACCCTGTGTTACATTGAATTAGTGAACAAAACTGGCATGCCTCCACGGTGAACATAGAATCCAAAAACTGAGAAAATTCTTGATTAGTTGAAGTTATAGGGGTCTGCGTTAAACAAAGCTATGTTAAAAGATCCATTTACGAAGTCTGACACAACTCGTGCAGTATAATCCAGTCATTTGCTCAATATTTCCTTAACACAAGCTTTTTTGCTAAAATGTTACTATTTAAAACATTTTCGCAAAAATAGTGCAGGTGCACCTCTTGTCCATGAGGCTCAACAAAATGTGCTGTAGCCATCTAAAAAAAAGGCCCACTCAAAATCTACATTTAGAATATTGTCACCACATCATCTTGCTGTTGGTAGCCCTTTCCGACAGGGAACTGAAGCCCTTATATCGCTCTCATCAAAGCCATCAGACTCCATTAACAAACACTCTGATTCTACCTTGCTGAACACGGTAGCTGCTGGTCTACTGCAGCCACGATCTGTAGTTTGTTTGTGTCATTGTGTGACTTTGGTGAATCCAAACTAGTCCTTAAAAACACCAAGTCACACAATAACACAAACAGACTTCCAGTTGAGGCAGCAATAGACCAGTAGCTCCCATGTTCAGCAAGGTACAATTACTGTTTGTGTCCAAAGTTGTCCAGTTTTGAAGAGAGTGTAGATTTTTTTATTTTTTTTATTTAAAGATTATTTTTTGGGCTTTTTTGCCTTTAATGTATAGGACAGAGTGAAATGGGGCGAGAGAGAGAGAGCGGGGGGTGACATGCAGTAAATGGTTGCAAGCCGCAAGCGACCACTGCATCGAGGCATCGTCTCTGTACATGGGGCGCTGGCATTATCCACTACGCTACCGACGCCCCAGGAGAGTGCAGATTAAGTTTCACTTTTAGTTCAGTTCCTCATTGGGACGTACTGTTTGGGAAGTACTGAGCATATGACTAGATAAATGTCACTTGTATTATGCTGCACGAGTTGTGTGAGATTTTGTAGACGGATGTTTTGATAAAGTTTTGATGTGTTAAATGAGGACTGGTATGACTTTAAGTCATCAAAAGTTTCCCCATTTTTTGCCTTCTTTTTTTAACTGGAGACATGTGAGAAAAACATTCAAGTCAACGTAATTGCTATACAAATGATCACTTTGTGGGTGAAGTATTCTTTTAAGCGTGATTCTCATAGCTGTGGGGCAACCAAAAGGATCCTTGTCTGGTTCAGTTTTTTTGTGACTAAAAGCATCTTCTCCGTCTTTTCTGCAGGAGCATCAGTGAAATATAGTGTGCTCTATCTGTTGGGCCTGGCGTTGCCTTACGTTCACTTCATGTTCCTCATCTGGGTGGTGTTTGAGATTTTCACACCCATAATGGGTCGCAGCGGCACCGAGATACCTCCTGAAGTGGTGATGGCCTCCCTGGTCACCCTAGCAACCATTTTTCTCTCATCTTTCTTTGTAAGTATTCAACAATGAACAACAAATCTGTTTTTTTTTTGTCAGCAGGATAACCTTGAGATCACATTGGAGAGTGTATTCAGGACAGAATACACATGACCAAACCAGTTTTACTGTATTAAGCTCAAGGCAGCAGTTTTGTTTGAGCAGTTTATTGACATTAAATGTGTGACTTTAGATAAGCAAACTAACCTCTGTGTGTAATCTACCATTTCACCAAAGTGTTTTGATGTTTGTTGTAATTTCAAAAAGACTGCAGCGTAGCTTGTTCCTCCACTCTGGTAACATAATATATTTCTCTCTCTCGCTCAGCTGCATTTTATCTACTTGGTACGGAGCACTAAGTGGATCCTGGCTGGCCTGGGCTCGGTCTTCATCGTCATGTTCCTGTTGATGTCCTGTGGCCTCCTCTTTCCTTATTCAGGCAATCCTGACAGCCCGCGGCCGAAACGAGTCTTCCTTCAGGTTCAGAGTCACACCACACATAGAGAAGCACAAATATACACACAGAAACACATGCATCTAAATCTTGTTCGGGAAAGGACGTGGAAACGCCTCATATATTCAAATTTTTTCTCTCCACAGTATGGGAGTCATACATTCCATTCAGATTCTTTAAAGTTGTCTTTTCCATTTTCTTTTCCAGCTCTGTAAAAAAATTGTATTCAAAGTGGTAAAAATCCAACATGAACAGTTTAATGTTGTAAAAAACACTTCTGCTGCAGAATTATATTGCATTTTGTTCGGTCAATTTTTTTGTTCTGCCTCAAGTGACTATCCCGCAGAGCAGCCTCTGCCTACATGATTAAAATCTTTTGTTGGGAGCAGGTGAAATACAAAGCTTCTACTGTATATAGCATGTTTTTGTAACTGGGACGCTGCACACCATGACATCTCTCCATGAGTTTTTGTGATAAAATAAAAGTGCTTTGATTCCACTCCTCCACCTGCTGATGTGAATCACAGAGAGTAATTTTGGCAGAAAGTCACTCTTTAAAACAGCTATTGAACAAGGCCGGTTGGAGGAAGATGTGCGCTAAAAAAAAATAAATGAAAAATGTTCGTGTACCTTCCTGCAGCATACAACACGGACCTTCCACAATCTCCAGGGCCAGGTGGAGAGCAAAGACTCAGGTCTGTGGATCAATAGTTTTGACTACACAGGCATACAGCACATCCAACCACATATCCCCGAGATCAACGACAGCGTTCGCACCAGCTGCCGTGAGGACCGGCCCTTCTGTGGTTACCCCTGGTTCCTACCTGTGAAGTTCCTCAGCAAGTCAGTAACACAGCCTTGTAGCTGACAGCATTGTTTCCATGCTCTGATGTAATTGTCTTCACATATGGACCTTTAATACTTTATATTCTTCCTATCTGCAGGAAGAACTGGTACCTTCCTGCTCCAGAGGTGTCTCCCAGCTCTCCTGTGGAGTTCAGCCTGCTGTCGAGAGAGGAGACCAGCTGGGGGACGATCAAGATGACCTTCAGTGTGAAAGGTCAGGAGCACTTTATGTCGCCAAACCAACACAAATACACTAAGACTGCATCCACATGAATATGTTTCTGTTTTAAAAAGCATAACTATTGCTACGTTTATGCCTAGTGTCCAAACTTCTCTGGCTTGTCCACATTCCCAAACCAGAGACCTTTGAAAAACACGGCTGACCCATTTTGCCCTGAGGTTGCTCTGGGGTTTTTGTTTGAGTCTGGATAGGTGGAAAACAATGACGCAGACACCCATGTTTGCTTCCCAATCAGAATTTAACAGTAACAGAATATGTCAAGCCAAAACATAACTTTTATAATTTCATCCTTTTATTGTGAGTGCTCCTTTCCCATCGCCACAGCTCCCTCAGGTGATGGATTATGCTCCCTGTACTGCTTCAATATGTCGCCGTATTTGCTTTGTAACAACTCCCAGTTTATGTTTTCCGCTGCCTTGACGGCCTTATGATAATTTCAGTAACAGTTCAAACTCGTCATCACTCCAAGCAAATAAATGAGTCATGTGATGTGCATTTTCAGGCGTGTTAGTATGGAAGGACACTACGTCTAAAATGGTGCCTTCTTTCTAGGACTTGCAGGTAGAGAGAAACACTATGATAAAAAAGACTTGCAACTCAACACCAATGTTACGTGACTTAAATTGGACTTGAGCCATATGAGCAGTGCAGAAGAATCTTGGCTGGTGACGGCAGCATATTCACAGACAGGGCAGGCAGCAGTGGCTGTGCATACTGAAAATATCCAGAGACACATCAAATGGGATGGAGAGTTTACATCAGCACTGACATTATGTCTGTTGAGACGTTTTGAGACGTTAAATGATTGATTGAAAGTTCAGCGTTGATCTTGGAAACATTAGTTGACAGCCTCAACACTGAGATGTCATAGAGATGTAGATGTCTGAGCACTGTGAGGACATATCAACACATCCGTGGTGGCTTTAAAAAATCTCGTCAAAAGGATCGTAAACACCCAAATTTATACGTCAACTGAGCAAACGCCATCTGCTGAGGAAGATCATGTGGTACGCTCAAAAGCTCCAGAACAGCTTCATTTGTGTACACTCATTATCCAGCTGGTTGATCTAGGTGTGTATGTGTGCATATATGTTAACTTGTGTCCTGTCCTGTGCAGGTCCCAGTCACATGTCCCTGTATCTGATGCCTCACCGAGGAGCCAGCCTCTCCACCTGGTCCTTCGGTGACGGGACGCCTCAGTTCGACCTGAGCGGAGAATATTTTGTCTTCTATTCCCACGGCCTTGATGCCCCTACGTGGACTTTCTGGTTTGAAATACAGGTACTGTCTGCATCTTACTGGGCTTTCTGTACTTGTTGTACTTATTAACATTTAATGTTGCTGCTATTTGTGTTTTTGTCATGTGAATTATTCAAACTGCTTTCTGTTTTTGGAGAGGAGATAATCTGTTAAAGCATCAGTTTGTCACTGTCACCTGTTAGTTTTGGTTATAAGAAATTAATAAGAAATTAAGATATCTACACAACCATCTAACTCAAATAAGCATATTTCCCACCATGTCAAACTATCCCTTTAAGATGGTTTTCCTTGCCCACAATAAATCCTCAGGTACTGCTGCACCTTTGACAGACTTAAGTATCCAGACAGATGCTTAGTTTTTTATGCCATTTTTTTCATTCCTCGCATATCTAGCTCTAGCTATAGCAAAACTTCACCTCATGGTCCCAGTCAGTGATGTCTGCAGGAGATTAACTCGTGGCAGGACACAGTTGGACTGTGTTGCTGTCATGTGAACACCATTAAACTCCAATTTTTGAGACTTATATTTGAATTGAATTAACAATTGCATGGGTTCAAGCGAACTCCATGACTGTTTAAAGACTCTTCTAAAGTCCATTGCATAAGCTGAAACACATGCAGCATAATAAAGCTAAGGCAAAGTGATTTTTCGTAGGGCCTGGTTAAACAGCTGGTCTGACATTCATGGCGTTCCTTCTTTCAGCCTCCCAGAGATCCGGACCCATCAGGCCCTGAGGGGATGATCTCTGTTGCCATCTCTTCCCACTATTTCTTTGGACAAGATAGAAGGACTGCTCAACTGGAGGGAATCCTCCACAAGTTTCCCACATGGGCTTTCCCTTCGTCTTGGGTCAGTACCTATGACATGTACCGATACTGAGGATGCCACACATCACAGAGGCCGACGCTGAGGAGAGCTGAGGGTTGCAGGGGCCCCAGAGTGAGATAGAAAAGATTTCAAGGAACAATACTGAGGACCAGCCCTGACGCCTTTTCTCTCTGACACAAACGCACACTCTAACACACACTCACGCTCCCTCCCAGCCTGCCTGAGAGACCCCCATCACTGTGTCAGTAGGCTTAGTAGCTAACCAAGCAGGAAGACGCGCTGAGACACGCCAGAGGTAAGCCGATTCGCTTACGGACTTGACTAACTCGATGACCGATGCACTGGCCACCGCAAGCCTCGTGCTCACTCCTGGGTTAGTGAAACAAAGGGGTTAAGTTTTTTTTTTTTTTTTGTACTCAATCTGTCGTGCCTTTGCTTTACTCAATCCATCTAACTCCCCTTCTCACTTTCCCTCTTGCTCACTTCCTCCTGTTCTTCCTCTCTCATGCTTCCTGAATGAATAACGTCGCATGGCTACTTCCCCTGCTCTCTCTTTATCAGCAAACCACTCGGGCTATTCTCAGACTAGATGCGTCTCTGGCTTCCTCTGCAGAAATGACACCACCACTATATGCACTGTAGGTGTAGTAACATACTGATAGATCCGTTTGGGAGGGGAAACAAAGAGAGCAGTTTTTGTTCGACCCCTCTTCCGACTTTAACTGGAAACTTTGACACTTTAAAAGTCACTTTTCATCAACATGCACTTGTTCATATTCTGAGCAAATAGTTTTCGTATTAACTGTGAAATCGCTCATTATCATTCCTCAATAACACCACTGATTTGCAGCAAGTCGTACGCCTGTGTTTCAACGAGGAATGCCAACAATCTGCTTTAATTGTCAGAGAATCTGGCATGCAGAGGCAGAAAACTGTGCCTGTTAAATGAAAACAGCTGGCTTCAGTCAAAATGTCAATGTGTCCTTTAAAAGGAGTAGCTTACCTGAAGATTTTGTGCAGAGGTCAATGTTGAGGTCTTAAAGTTTTCAGCCTGATGTGTTCAAGAAAACTTGTAGTGATTTTGGGCTAGATGAGACCAGAACTCACAGGGAAACGTCTGAATGTCCTGTGATTTAAAACTATTTCCCGAGCCTTGAGGGTGATTGGGTGGGAAACCAGCAATGCAACTCCACGCTCATTAACAGCACCAGTGGCAGCTTGTTCTGTCTCAGGTGGAGGTGTTGGTTCTTGACATTTACTGTAAAAGTATTTGTACTTGTTTTCAAACTTGACTTCTGGTCTGTGCTACGAGCTGTCCTCAGCAGCACCAATGGATGTCTGTGTCATAAACTAAACAGTTGAGAAAACAGAAGATTAATCAATTTTGAAAATAATCCTTAGTTGTGGCCTAGAGGAAAGTTATCCAGTGCAGATGGAGATAAGTTAATCAGACCTTTATGAATTTTGAGTTAATTGTTCTCACTTAAATGGCATTAAAACAAAATTTTTAAACATCAGGACCTCAGTAAGAATAGCTGCTGCAATGCCGTAGCTCATGGGGATCCTAATAAACTAAACTAAACCAGGTAAAAACTATGTACATACAAATTACAACAACTCAATATAGCAATATAAATATTTAATTAATCCAAGTGAAAAAAAAATGGGTGAAGCTATATTTTATGGGTCTGAATTTTCAGAATCATTTTCGAGTAGTATCCTGCAATGAACTATGCAGACCATGTTCAATCAGTATGCTCACAATTACTTAATCCTGTTTAATTACCAGCTGACTGTGCAAAAAGTGTAAATCATTGTACAGGCAAACACACATTTCAACACATCTGAAGAATAAGATAATAAAAAAAGAATATTTACTGGGGGTGTAATGATACATCGATCTGAATCAACATATCGATTCAGTGATCAACAAGTGTAAACATTACATATCGCCATCTTTAATATACACCTTCATTTTCAAATTCCCATAGGTTGTTTGTGTCACCATTCCCATCCAAGTGCACCTCTTTCCTGTACATTCAAACTGTGCAGGCGATAATGGCAAGCAGCCAAAAAAAAGACTGAGGATAATTACTGATATCATCTCATATAGATTGAATTGAATCGAATCAAAGTAGTACAGTGGCCAACTTTGTACTATCAGCAAATATCGTATTTTCTTAACAATCAGTTTCATTTTGTACCATGATTAAACTTGTGATTAACACCCCTAATGTTAGTACCAATGTTAGTACCAAAATGCATTGTTATTTCCAGGAAATGGAAAATTATAAGGAAATAACAGACCTGTAAGATAAAGCATTATGAAAAGCAGTTATATGCAGATAGCTCCAGGTGGAATTAAATTCTCTTACCATAAATAATCTTATCTGTAGAGAGAGAGATGATTGAGACGGCGTTAAAGAATCAAGAATGAGCTGTAAAACGGTAATCCGTTTGGGAAGCAGTAGATGAAGCTTGTTAGCCCACTCTGCTCATGTAAACTCTCAACTGAGAAACATCTAGCTAAGCATCCACCCAGTGAGGAGCTGAACTCTGCTAAACTGTTCATTTACTGTAACTTTTCTGACCTTCAAGTTGTGCTGAAATGGTTCTGTGAATGTATATTTATGCATTGATGCTGCTGCGGACGCTTCTACCAGTAACTGTTGTCCACTCATTTTATGGTGTGTGTTGCTAATATTTTTTTTTATATATCACTCATCTCATGTGGAGCTGCATCTTTTTATTGTCTAGAGCCCAAGTATCACAACCACAACCTTGTTAATATGACCTGTGCTACGTGTCTACTTCACAAAGTTGACCACATAGAACACCGTGTTACCGTCAGGGCCGGATTACACTAGAAAGGAAGTGGTTTGTACCACATGTTGTCTTCACACACTGGAGGGCAGAGTGAAAAGCTAGCTGTTTAAACATGGGGATAAAGGTTAGTCTCTCTTGGAAGGCCTTCATAGTGTTGCACTTGGTTGCTCACATGAAAAGTGACAGAAATAGTTTAGTCAGGAATGAAAAAAGAGAGCTAAAGAAAAGGTCAATCCCTTGCTCCTCTCTCACCTCCACCAGGCCCAGTGTGAAATGGGTGTTAATGCTGGTTTTGGAAGCTTATAGAAAGGGTCATACACAGATTCCACTGCCCGGCATCAGAAAGGTGTCGGGGGAGGCGAAGCATCTCCACTTCTGGTGTCCCCCATGGGACCTTATTTCTGAAAACATATATATGATAGTCAACGGCAAGAGACTTTTGATCCTGTGTCAATTGCGCAATGAGTAACACGTGATGTTTGCCAGTTTAAAAGATAATTTGCAAGTCAAGAAAGTCACAGTGTTGTAATGCCATTTAGTTTTGTGTGAAATTGCTCAGTGAAGTAGATCTCGTCTCACACAATATAACTAACCCCAGTTAGCTAGCTTTTAGCAACGCTATGGCTAACTTAGCTATGTTCCATACACAAATGTATTGTTATCTCACCTGCTGCATTTTACCCAGTGACTCCAAGCCTTTTAAGCAACCGGAAAGTTCAAGAATAAGCAAGAGCCGGTGCTTTTGTGAGAACATCCTGGTACAAAACACAGAGTCATCACAGCTTTATCAAGAGAGAAATTTATGTCATGACTTTGGCGATCCTCTGTTGTCCTTCTAAATATGTCTTCTTACAGTCTAAGGCTGTGCTCATGTGCTCCTCTGCAATGATCCTATTTCCTGAGCCGGGAAATGGTATCGCTGACTTTAGTGTGATCAGGATCTTAAGGTCGAAATGTGGAAAAACATAGCCATTACATAGATGTGTCAGAGCATTTAAACAATACTTTGACAACAGTTTGAAGCTTTACATCATAAAGTGATTTTGTCCCAGACTTGTTGCTGCACCAGCACATCCCCCGAAACTACTGAAATATTGCTTTACCTGATAACTGCTAATAACTAACTTTTCTAGCTTATCTGGGTCACGAAGTGGGCAGCGACTGTTATAACCTAATACCATATTACAAGTTACATGTAAACAAAAACTGACATTCATAATGTGAACTAATACCAAATAAATTCCCACCAACCCAACATTTACTTTCATCTGCTATGTTTCTGCATATATGACATCAACTCAGCAACTTGTGTTCCAAATTTGCAGCCTTCCCAAATTGTCATTCAGATTTGAGGGGGTGGTCATGGGAATTTTCCCAATCAGGAACTCTGTTTTCAGAATATCCTACACCACATGAATGTAGGGTTATACTTAAACTGTTTTACAACAAACTACAACTGCAACATAATATTGCTACAATTCAGATGATGATTTGTCTCTTGCCATTGACTACCATACATATTTTTTTCCGAAATAAGGAGCCATGGTGGTCCGCCAGAAGGAAAGGGACTTTGCCTCTATATGCGACCATCTGACAAGCCCTTCTGAGTATAAAGGCAGTGTATAAAGGCCCCTTCAGTGTCACCACTACCTCCACTATGATCAAACTTAGTGTCCGACACCAAGATAACAGCTATTAATGTTCTCGTAAAGACTGGTTTGAATGTTACTGTTGGAAAGATTTAAATGACTTAGCTAACTAATGTTAGAGAGAGATTATATTGATGGATTATAAAGCATCATCATGTTTGTCTCTGGGCTACCTCTGTTTTCTGCTAACAGCAGAGTGGTTCCATCGTGTTTTTGATCGCTTAGTCAGACCGTCCCCTCCCTGCTGTCAGTCCCACACTCTGATGAAATCTTTTAAACGCAAAAGTCACGTTGCTGCTTGTCAGCAGTTTGACTCCTCTCATATGTTATCACAGGTGGCATCGGGTTGTAAAAGACTTGGGAGATTGTTTGCACTTGGGAGATCAACTGAGCAAAATCGTCTTTCATCCACTTTGTGTTACACCCGGTGACGTGTTGTTGTGATCCATGTTGTCCGTTTGGCTTCAGTCACACACAAAAATAAGAAATGCTGACATAACGGAGGCCTTAACATTTTGCTTCCAAAGAAACACAAAATGTTTACTGTTGTGGACACAAACGTCTCAGTGGTCTTAAAAGCTATCAGGTGCTGCACTGTACAGAGTTTTTATGCACGTGAATTTTTGTCTGTTGTAAAGTTTGAACGTAAAATCCATCACAGCCTTCGACAGCACTTGGCGGACAGAAAAACAGATCGTCCTACTATGCTCCTTCTTTTATGCACGATGTGTAACGAGAAGTCCTCAAAGTACTCTAACTCAATCTGCTGAGGAAGATAGTGTGATACAATTGAAAGCTCCAAAGCAGGTGACATTGTTTTTGTCAAAAGCCAGATGGTCTTATCAGCTGACTGCAGTATGAAAATATGTTAGCGTCCTTTCGACAAGCAAAACATTAGACAACTGCTGCTACGAATTTGACTTTGACTGGAAAGAAGATGTTACATTTAATTGGCCGGTGAAATAGTTGTCAACACTAGAGATTTTATACCTCTCCTCCACTGTTTTTGTTAAAGGACCATACCTGTGGGATTATTTGTTTTTGTTGTACATTTCAGCCATTTACCACAGATCATATATACGTCAAATAACTGTAACCTTGACAGCAGTGGGACAAGACATGCTATTCACTTTGATATATTTTTCCAGATGTCTAACAGAGACTGAAAGCTGCCTGCTGGAAAAATACTGTACATGGGAAATAGTCGGCTATAATGTAAATGTGCTAAAACAAAGGGGGAAAATAGTATGGTCCATCTTTAACCATTTCTTCCTGAAACAGATGTTGCTGCATTAAAGGGATAGTTTGGATCTTTTTAGGTGGGGCTATATGAGGCGGCACTTATTCATAGTCCGTGTATTACCTATAGTAGATGGCAGTCGCTACACCCCCAGTTTGGAGAAGCAGGAGTACTGACATGGAAGCTAAGCAAGTACTGCTGTGGAAAGGTGAGCAACAAAATGTATTTAAGCTACCTAAAAGAAGGTCCTTTTATCTATCAGTTTAAATGTACACTGTATTTAGAATTTTTTCTCTGCTTTACTAAGCCATCAGACGGCAACTTCCAACAGGGAACTGAAGCTATTGTATCGTTCTCTTCTAAGCCAGACTCCATTGAGAAAAACAGCACACAGCTGCTGGTCTACCGCTGCCTCGGTAGGTTAGTTTGTTTTAGGGTTGCACGATAATATCGGGACGTCATTGGTATCAGCTGATATTGGCTGTAAAATAAAATATCGGAATCAGCCAACATGCCTGTAATAACAGTACATCATCGGCATAGGACAAAATCGGGTTTAAAATTAACTATCAGAATTGGCCAACACGCTTTTTCTTATATTGCGCAATGAATGAATGTTACATTTATTAAAAAGTATTGTATTTCATGTGTCCATCTGCTGGTGGGCCATCACAATAAGAGTATGCATGCAAAGTATGATGTTAATTCCACTACAGAGGAGACTTGATGATTACTAAAATTAGGTAGAGAAAAAAAGTGGATATATTGATATTGGTTATCGGTCAAATGAGTTGTAGTCTTGCTCACCAGACCTTTCTCAAGAAAAGAAGGGTCTGGCTGCGCCGACTCTCACTTTAAGATTGGAGGAAAAAAACGCCCCGGCTTTTTTTATTTCTTTCAACAAATCACAATCGTTCTGGGCAGTGCCACAGCAACGGTGCGCTTGCAAAAATATTGCCAGAGGGAAACAGATTTGGTGTAACACGCCCACAAAAATAACGAAGATCAAACACCGCAAAAGTTAGTAAAGGACGTTTGTCGACTATGACAACCGGAGGTGGTAGGGCGGGATTTCAGCGGGTGGCTCGTTCCACCCAATGAGAGGCTGATCTATGCAGTGAACTTCCACCCACTCAGACTAAATGAGTTGTTACATATCAGCATATAGGATATCGACAAAAAATACAATACCGTGCATCTCTAGTTTGTTTGTTACTGTGTGACTCTGGCCTTTCAAAGGGTTAGGTCAGATTCACTGAAGTCACAAAATATAACAACTAAACTAACTGATCAAGGTAGAGGTAGACCAGCAGCTTCCATGTTCAGTGAGTTAAAATTACTATTTTTGCCAATGCAGTCTGGCTTTGACAAGAGCATAGATGGGGAACTGAAGCAGTTAACTGCTTTCCTGTCAGAAACGGTCGTCTGCAGGAAGGTACAGTGATGAAAATACTCTCAGTATTGCATACACTTGAACTAACACTGATTGTCCACAGCAGTATATTGCTCAGCTTCCGCGCTGGTACTCCTGCCTGCTTCTCCAAACTGGAAGAGTGCTGACCACCATCTACTGTAGGTAATACAATCACAATGAATAAGTACCTCAAACAGCCCCACTTTAAAGGATCTGAAGTATCGCTGTAACTCTGTGCTGCTCTACAGCTGTTCATAATGGAGTCAACACCAGTCTGCAGCAGAAACACAAACACACACTCACTGTACATCAGTGTGAGGAGATATCCATAAGTGCTGTGTGGCGGCGATACAGACGCTGCTTTAAGTGACAGACAGTGGTCTAAATCTGCTTTATTGAACGTGCTTCAGTTGATATGCAGAGTGTCTATGGGAGATAAAGCTTTATTAACAAGTGTAAATGGATATTTTTCTAAAAATCTGTTGTAAAGTGGCAAAGAGGTTGATTTTTATAAGAGACTAAAGGACATCATGGAAACACACGATGGGTTTAAAAGTGGTTTTTTTTTCAGATGTATTAAAGTTGTTCATATTTCCACCAACATCACAGTTTGTTAAAAATCCAATTGTTTCTAACAGATCATCTCAAGATGAGGCAGCCATTTTGTTTTGAGTGTGGTTTATAGTTACAATATTAAAGCAGCTCTATACAATATTCAGAGCGTTAATACAGCAGTAAACACCTATTTGTTATGTAAAGATATAGTGGAGTGATGGCGTCCTGAGCAGGGTGAAGTCGCGCTCCCTGTGTGTGTCTTAGTCTGAGCTTCTCTGTTGTTTGTTGTGATTGGAAGCCCACTGGCTAGCTCATTGCTGCTGCTCTGCACTGCTCTTATATGGCAGTTACCACTGATATCAGGGCCATGGCATCACAAAAGCGTAGCACCCACCCTCCTGTCCTCCCCCCGGGTTAACACCATTAGCTCTGTCAGCACTGTTGCTTGTTAGCACCGTTAGCTGCTAGCCGTTGGCTCAGAAAACTCCATGTTGAGAGTCATGTGTAGACAACCTCTGAATCACAGATAAGCTCTGAATATCATATAGAGCTCCTTTAAATGGGATGATGGTTGATATAAAACAAGAGATGGGGTTGTTATTCTAAAAGCACGAATGCACGAGGAACTGCTGTAAACGCTGTTGGTGCTCCCACTGTTAGACTGAACCATACACCGAGCGCTGCTGGAGAGCTCAACGTAGAAAAAAACTCCTTTTAGAAGAAAGTGAAATCAAATTGTGACAAAATCTAATGTATTAATGTAACATGGTCAAGACTGAAAGGCTGACCATGCACTGCGCAGCGTTTTTTTTGTTGTTTAGTGTAAACTCACATGTGATGAAGATAAAGCTACGTCCAAGTGTAACAGTCAGTCAAGGAAACTAAAATCAGTCACTCACACGGATGTTCATATCAGCTCGAGGAATAAGCAATTTCACTGAAATCTATTCTGGGATACACATTGAAATGTCTTAATGCCTGTTGTCGGAGGATGTCCTTTTATTTTTTAAAAAGATGTTTAATTTGTTAACAGTTTTGTTATAGTACTATACTGTGTTTTATTGTACAACATCTTGACTTTTCACCCTTGCCTACTTCTCTAGCTGTTCAGTTTTTGTTCTGAGAGTTAAATTGAGTGTTTTTTTTTTTTTAAATGACTGATCATTGTTTTTCTTTTTTTGTGATTGATTTGACACTTTAACTCCTTGAACTGCTGTTTTGCTTTTTTAAAGATTGCATATTTGTCTGTCTGTTGGAATTAAGTGATTGATATGACTGTTGGGATTAGTGGGATTGATCTGGTTACAGGGTATCCATCTATTGAATGGACGGGATGATTTTACATTATGCAAAATGCTTGAATTAAATTAGCACTTGTACAGCAATTAAAAACCCTTATTATGTTGTTGGTTGTATTGCATTCACCACATGTACACACAAACAGCGGATTAGATTATAATTAGAAACACAGGCAGCCAAACCATTTTTAAAAATAATTTATTGGTCTTTATGTACAAGGAAAAAAATGAAGTAGAAAACCAAACATGAGTAGAAAAGGCAAATGTACAAGAGAGTATCTTTACACTGCATTGAGGATCTTTGCTACTGCTGCCCCAGAAATAATACTCTGAGTCGAGAAGCAGGCAAAACTTTTTAAACTGTACACAGGAGGAAGGGAGCGCAGTCCACCTCTGAGTGAACGTGACACCCGAGTACCACGAGACACACCTGACCGACCACTCCTCGCCCGCAGAGAAAGAAACCAGAAAAGATCTGCAATATTCATTTCCGTAGGAAATTGTCTTGTATGCCGTCAGCATTAGTTTTGAGCATCAATGGTTATGTTTCAGATGAGAGGGATGGGGTAAGGATGTGTGATATTTTTTTTTTTTCCCTCCTCTGCATAATGAATCAAACGCTCAATCGAAGCAACCAGTTAAAACAGAAGGCCTCTGGACGTAAAGTCTTTGGTTCGTCATGTTACCGTTTTCAAGTCAAGTAAAGCTTACAGCAGAGCAGCGTAGTGTGGCTGTAGGCTTGTTCAGAGTGGAGGCGGGCCCGCTGGAACGGGATTTACGTTGAGTGACGACAGTACATCATTTTGCCCTTTCGTGAAAAGTGAGTGTTCTAACAATACAGGCAGTTCATAAAACAGAAACCACTGGAGAAAGGAAAATTCCAAGAGACACCCACACCCGACTCGTCTTGCACTTGCCGACAAGAGAGCAAAAATGTATCTACAAAACAGGATTTGGTCTATCGTGAAACGTAAAAGCAATCTGCCGGGGAAAAGAAGTAGTGAACATAAAAAAATAAAGCTGAGTAACATTTCAATACATTGAACAATATAATACTGACAAATCTGTGATGAACCTTTTAGTGCTTGTGGTAGACGCCAATACACTTCTTTGATTAAAGGTCTAGTGTGTAGGATTTAGTGGCATCTAGCGGTGAGATTGCAACATTGCAACCAACTGAAACTTCTCCTGTGTGCTAAGCGTGCAGAGCTATGGTGGCTGACACGAAAATGTGAAAGGCCCTATCTAGAGCCAGTGTTTGGTTTGTTTGTTCTGGGCTGCTGTAGAACACTCCGTGGAAGAGGACCTGCTCCGTATACAGATATAAAGGGCTCATTCAGGGTAACGAAAACACAACAGTTCTTAGTTTCAGGTGATTATACACTAAAGAAAACACAGTTATGAATATTATATACCATGTACGCCAATATATCCCCCTAAATCCTAAACACTGGACCTTTAACTAAAGGGGGAAAAGTCTGTTATCAGTCATAAAAACCAACCGAGCATCAATTCAGTAATTACCACTCAGCTATGATGCCAATAAATAATAATAATGATCAGGACTAATACGATAAAATCAATTCGCATGCGATGAAAGTCACCAAACATGTCAACACGTTCTCAATACGATGTGGTACACACACTCATAAATCCACACAGAAGCTCGCTAATCTACTTGTCTCAAGTGGTTCAGGGATGTGATATGCATATTGGACTGGATGAAATATAAAGTCCTTATCAGAGAATGAGGGTCAAACTACACAAGAACTCCTCAAATACACAACCATCTCATCCACACTTTAAAAATGATGCCGACGTGTCACCGTTAACACTACCGATGACAGAGATGATGCTCTTTTAACAAGGGATAGGTACAACATCTACAGAATAGGATGGCTTTAATAACACAGTATTATCAATCTGCCTCGCTGATGATAGGAAACACATTTTGAATCTCCCAGATGGAGACTGAAAAGCAAAAGTGTGTTTAAAAGCTGGATAAAGCATCACATGATTTGGTTTTTACACTACAGCCTCAAATATGCTCACCTAGTGAAGGCGCAGCACTGATCTGCTTGTTGTTTAAAGTCTGGACTGTGAAGACGATCAGACGGGTTGATTCTGGCTCAGACACTTCTGGGCATGGACTTCAACAAAGTCAGGGCGTTGGTGCATGGGGAAAAAAATCTGAACAGAGGTACTGATCAGTGGTAAAAAACTAGTCTGCACTCGCAACAGTGGATTCTTCTCAGAGAGCACTTTCTTAGAAATCTTAAGGTCGTCACTTCTCAAGAATTACATAGAATTCATACCATGAGTTTTGTCTTTTGTACAGGGAGGGACAAGCTGTAATTGATAGAAAAATAATATTATCTTGTACACTGTTACATTATTGAAAAAAGGTATCACAAAATATTTTTAAATCATATGAGGTATGAAAGTATGAAACACCTCTTGTGCACACAAACAGAACTGCACGCTGTACTGTAGGCTCAGACACACTTCAGTGCATCCTGTAAATGGTTCATGACAAGAGCTTTGTTCTACATTTTGCTTAGCAATGTAGCATGATGCAAATACACTCAGGTTTGTTTTGTTTTTTTTGTCTTTGAACTGATTCTTGCACTGTTTGCATTAAACCAAAGGAAACAATGGAGCTCTTAAGATTTCAAAGTCTCCAGGTTGCACTTGGATGAGTGCCAAAGAAAAGTTACGCACACAAAACATCTGTCTTGGAATAATAATTAAAAAAAAAAAAAAAGACTGGTGCTTTCCTGTGCTGGTCTACAGCCTCCAAACACCACAACCTGATGTATAAACACACAAACTGACATTGGCGGCCTTTTGTCTAACAGCACATTTTGGTAAAACGAGGCCTGTTAGAGGGGAACCATCAGACTGAACCCTATCTCCGGTTGTGCTGTGGTGTCTCTGTGCCAGCCTGGCTGTCTGTCGCTCTCTTATCAGCTCGGTATCCATGGGGGTTCTAATGGACACAAAGGGTGATTAGAACCCCCATGGATACCGAGCTGATAAGAGAGCGACAGACATGGGGGTTCTAATGGACACAAAGGGTGATTCTGGAGAGTGGATAATACTGACTGGAGTAAGAACCTGCAGGAGAGGTACTTTCTGCGCGCACACACACACACACACACACACACACACACACACACACACACACACACAGGCATACGCACACTTCAAAAATTTCCAGTCAGCCACTGCTGCTGCTGCTTCCTCCTCTATTTGCCTCGAGTTCACAGTTCAGAGTCCAGAGGAGGCTCCGGGCTTCAGGACAAGGTGCAGTCGTAGGCTCCCTCTTCATCCCCCTGCTCCTCTGTCTGTTCGGGAGGACAGTCCTCAGAGGGGGGACGGGGAAAACCCCCTGCAGGTTCCAGAGAGGGCAGGGCCAGGCCCAGCGGAGCCGCTACTCCTCTACTGTCCTCTGCACGTGGTACCGCAGCACCTCCCAGCCCCTCGGAGCCACCGAGCTTGGAGCTCTGGCTGGTGGGCTGGAAGGCCTCGGGCTGCACCTGCTCAGCTGCTGAATCCATCAGCTGCTGGAGCTGCGGCTGGATCAGGTTGAGAAATGGTTTGTATCCCAGACTGGAAAAAGATGAGGGACAAAGGATGGGAAAAGGTTAAACTAGGTATATGTTCTTCACCATTATATAAGATTTTATTTTACCAGAACAGCCGAACACATTCATCACATCATTATAAAAACAACTGAAATTGTTACCATGTCCTGACAGTAGTACATAAGACAAATAATCTGTGAAAAAAAAAATCATGATCCTCTGCCTCCTCCTAGTGCTTCTGATGGTATTTTCTAGAATCCACCACAGCTGATTAACAGCTGCATTTGAGACTCCTCAGCTCTGATTAGCTGTCTTCATTATTGGATTCTTGCAAATGCCATTAGGAGCACTACGAGGAGCCAGAGAAACATAAAACATGACTGCCACACTCACCAGTCAGTGGAGACCCATGCGTCGACAGCTAATAAGCCGTTACGAACACTCTGCACAGTTTCTTGGGGAACTTCGGGGCTGTCCAGGAAGCCGATCACCTGCTTTATGACGCCGGCGTCCCGAAGGATCAAACCAATCACTACGCACCACTCGAGACAGCCCGCCTCCATAAACACATGAAGGAGATACCTGAGGGACACAGAAATGCTGTTTTAGATTCACACTGGGTCAAACAAAGAGAGCAGCAGGATCATGGAAGTGAGGTTTAGTGACGATATCTCACCTGAGCTGCACCTGCGACTTGTGTGGTCCTTTGTTTGCCAGCTCCATGGAGATGTGCTCCAGCTCAGCCTGGCTCAGGCTCAGAGTGGAGGAGTTTTCATCAACCATCGTCCAATCTCCATCCACCACTGAGCTGGTCTCTGTCAAGTCTGTGGCTGAGCCGACGCTGTACTCTTCCACTAGAGGGGTGAAAAAATGAACAAGAGAAGGACGGTTATGGAAAATAAAAGCTGGTGACAACTAGTGAGTCCCTTTTTTGAGTGTTAATAGTTGAACAGTTCAAGTCTTATTACCTTTGTTGGTGAGCAGGGACAGGAACGCGTCATGCGTCTGTGGCGAGTGCTGGGTGGAGTGAGCGGACGAGGCCGTGTCCATGTCTTTGGGCCTCTGCCCGAGCCCGTCCAGCCAGGTGTGGTTGGTGGGAGATGCCTGAGGGGGTGCTGTGTCCATGTCGCTGTTCAACAGGCTGTCGGCTGACTGCGACTTTAACAGCCGTGTGCTCAGCACTGACAGTGACAAGAAAACAACATCATGATATATTGGAAAAGAGAAACCCAAGTTCACATATTGATATTAATAATGTATAAAATAAAGCAAGTATGGCTTGTTCCCTTTCTGTGTGCTTTTTAGCTCGCTAACAAATCAATCTGTTCCTCATTTGCTGCAGCCACTAATCAGTCTAAATTTAAGGTTTACAATGTTGAGCTTTCAGTGATGTCTGATGTGTAAAACAACATAGCTGAAAAACAGCACTTCTGTAAAAACAGACTCCTCAAGATTTGGTTCCTTTTCTGGGCAGCTTCTGTACTGCCTGAGTCCTGTGTCACTCACCTGTGCGACACCGTCCGTTCTTCAGAGGTGAGCTGATGCTTCCCACAGGAATAACTGGGAAGGGCCAGAGAAAATCCTTGTGGAGTTTCTTCAATGCAGACACAAAATCCTCAACGCGGGCCACGCGGTTTCGTTCGCGACACAACCAGCCGATGAGTTCGAAGCCCAGCTGTGCAGAGAAGCAACCCAGGTCGCGGAGGCGTACCTGCTCAAGGAGGTGGCGGGCATGGCGCCAGAGCATCATGTCGATATACATGTTCTCTGCGCACTCCACATCCCGACTGACAGGAATTAACACAGGGAGAAGGAGAGGTAGAGAGAGAAAATGTGGAAACATTTAGATGAGAACAATTTAAGCAAAACACAAGAGCACCAGTACTTAAAATATGAATTAATGCAAAGTCCTGCTTTAGGTTGGGTCTTCAAAATCAGACCCATGCAGGACTCTGTGTCACTGTGTGTGTGTGTGTGTGTGTCCATACCCTTTAGCAGAGGGTCCGGAGGGCATACTGAAAGTCTTCTGCAGGTTGAACTTGCCCGTAGTGATGGCGTCTGCTGACTGTGACAAACTGATGCTTCGATTTCTAAAGAACTCAAAACCGCCTGTTGAGCTGGGTTCCTAGAGACAAAAATTAACAGTTCACTATTTTATGTTTACAGTATGTTTGTCGGTACAAAGCATGATGGGGTGTCTGATCTGCTGAAATGGAAAACACTGAACATGTGATCTCAGTTCATTTGCCTGAAGACCTGATAACTTTTCCTTAACTGATACCTATAGACAGTCTACGAAAAGTGGTAAGAAAAGGAAATTAATGTTTGCGGAGATTATTTGAAGTTCTTTACCTGAGTGGTAGGTGTCGGGGGCGGAGTCTCCATTTCCCCAGAGCCAATGGCTTTGAGGAATCGGATCATGTGCCGGCAGAGGTCCCACTTGCCCTGCTCAAGCGCCGTGTTGAAGAGTAGAGTGGCGTGTTGTCTGCTCACTGCAGGAACCTCCATATTCTTTACAGATGGATAAATGGAAGAGACGGAGAAAGGTGGAGACTGTGTGAGCATTTTATGATATCATGACACCCTAAACAGATTTAGTCAGGCGACGATTTTATCTGAGGTGGGAGTATGACTGAGACTTTTTTCATGTTTCTGTCCTAGGCTGTCTGATAACCCCTGCATTACACTGTGGAAGGCTAACTGAATATGTGTGTCACTACCTGCAGTATAATCAGATAGGAGGCTGCTGTGTCCAGGTCTTGAGCCATGAGACATTCCTCAAATAGATCTTTGGGGTTTCCCACAGCGGCAAACAGGTAGTTCCACAGGGCATACTCCGTCTTCCTGGCACAGTGGACGATGGTCTGGAGGAAGAGGGGGAACTCAGTGATGAACTTGGCCACGGTGGGCAGCAGAGGGTCTGGGATGGGCTCCCGCGACGTTGCCTCTTCTTCCAGCACAACGTGCACCATCAGCTCCATGACGTGGGGGAAGTAGGGGAGGGAGGCACATGACTGAGCCAGCATCAAAGCCTGCGGGAGAGGGAACATTAAAGAGCAGAAATATTGGACTTTGTAGGTGTGCAAACAACCACAGGTAGTATCACCACCACTTATTGACCCAGCTGAGGGGATGAGATAGGAAGCCTCATGTACCTGTTCACCCAGGTTGCGAACAAGCAGCTGCCTCAGGATGTGATGGAGGTAGATCTGGGAAGTCCTCTCTACGGTGCAGAAGGGAAACAGCGCCTCGAGTGGCTCGGAGGATCCCTGCAGCCCGTCATAGAGCACAGTCTCATTGGTTGCCCCCAGCACCAGGGCATCCTCGAACAGCACGGCAAGAGGGTAGATGTTGATGTGGAAGGGCAGCATGATGCGCCTGGAGAGGAAGGAGTGGGGCTTGCGATGGTCTCGAGGAAACAGCGGCAGCCAGACTTTCATGCCTGCCTCACCGCAGGACAACCACAGGGCCTCCAGCAGGTGGCGCTTCTTCTTGTTGGAGCGACAGGTGGTCCACACATTCTCCACACACTGGGCCAGCACCACCGGAGGACAAAATGGTAGCTAAGGGAGAAAGTGTTATAGGGATTTAATAATAAAAATGTAACACAGCATATGGGTAACATGCTGCTTTAGATTCTATATGACATTCAGAGACAATCTCAGACATTAATATTATATTCATGTTCTGAATGTAAAATAGCAGCAAACCACTATTTGCTATGCAAATGTACAGGGGAGTAATGTTGTCCTGACCAGAGAGTGACTTCAACTACCTCTGTGTGTTGCAATCCCAGCTCCTCTGTGGTTTGTCAGTCAGTGCATGTGCGTATCCCACTGACTCGCCCATCGCTCTTGCACTGCGCACATACGGCAGTTAACACTGATATCGAGGTGACAGTGATGTGAAAGCTTAGCGCCCACCCTCCTGTTCCCCCTAGTTAACACCGTTAGCTCTGTCAGCACTGTTGCCAACTCATACGCTTTGAATTTTGCATAGAGTCCCTTTGAGGTTGTAGAAGACTCACCTTAAAGAAGTATTCCACTGCTGAAAAGATGTCTTTTCATAAAACTGGACTGTCTATGCAGTCGAAAGACGCAAATACTTCTGAAATTGGCTCTATATGACCATCAAAAACAGAGGAAAGGGGCTGTGGCATTTGCTCAAGAGGTAAAAAAACAACAACTAACAGACTGAGCTGCTTCTATACTCTGTGTCTGTGGTGGTGGGCATATGAAAATGCAGAATTACAATACTTTGAACAACAGCCCAAGAGCCTGGGAAAATCCGCCAGATTATGTATTCAGGTCGTCCAGCAAATTTTAGCTGAGAGATGATGAGCAGCGAGATCTGGCTCTTGGTAAGATGGAGGGAAGAGTACCATAATCTTTTTACAGATAGTACCCACATTGTTATAATACAAAGCTGGTTAGGCAGTTTACATAAAGTGTTAAATGTTAAATGTTGCACAACTTTGATTGTTTGTAAAATTGAAGAAGGCTGCATTAATATTAGTTCCGCATTTTTTCCTGCATTTTGTTTTTGAAAAAGCACAGGAGGGAAAAAACAAGTTCTTGAAGCACTGGTGCACAACACAAAAGTGTAACTTGAGACCACTGCACTGCCTATTGTTCAGACTCACCAGCTTTTTGTTGTTGGCAGGCGTCTCCTTCTCTCGTACCTGTGGTCCTGAACGGTCCCTCTGCAGCATGATCAACTGGCCAGCCAGATTCAACATGATGCTCTCTGCCATGCAGGCCTGAGATGGACACACACACGTAAAACATGAATGCGAACACACTTAAAGAGACAGGAAAGTTCAGTGTATATGTGTGTGTGTACGTGTGTTACCTGCTGCGGGGCTTTCAATGTGATGCCTGTTTCTGTGCGCACAGAGGTGAGCGTGACGGAGACCACGAGGGCAGGGTGAGGGATGTAGCGAGACATTGACACCTCCTGCAACAACTCAACGCTGGCTGTCGGGTGTGGACTGGAACATAGTATAGTATAGTGTTTTATTTAATCATCACACATAATACAGAAAGTATAAAAAACACAAACAGTATAAACAAAATCAACAGTCTATGTATTCAGTAGTGACTGAAAAGGATTAGGCAGAGGCAAAAGCTTGTATATTCCTGTCCTACATCATTAGCAATGTAAGCTATTTTCCAAAAATTCCACACAGTGAGATTTATTAGGAAGTATAAGTGAGTAGTAAATTATATACAGGGCCTCGTGGTTAAATATATCCCTAGATTTACACAGGATTGCTATTGACTTTGAAAATGTACCCTATATATAGTGAAAAAGAGGTGAGCATATTATAATTTAGTATCATGGCCTTCAGGTAAAAACACTAATGAAGAAAGAAAAAAACCAAGGCAAAGACTTGGAGGACTTTAACTTTAAGGTATTTGAACAAATCCCCAGTACGAAAGGTGACAGTATTTGACTGCTCTTATTTTCTTTGAACGTCTATGCAGTCAATGTTTTAAAATGCTGGCATGCCGCTTGCTAAAATATTTTATTCAGGTAGAGTCCCTGATTCAATATATTCCTTGTACTTGACTGGAAATAAAGGTCACTAAAAATACTAAAGTAAGCAGAAATCCTTAAAGTTCTGATGAAGTTTAAAGTTTCTGAGGCTGGTCAACTACTGCTCACGAAAATCAAAGTCTACTCTCAAATACGAGAAGTACTGCTGCGGCCCAGCTCTGTCATGTGATGGGTTTTAGGTCAATAGCGTTAACTTAAAGTCTCTTTTCCCAGGGGAAAATGTGGCTGAGTAACACTATTACCTAACACTATTATGACTGCTGGTGCCAGAGATTTCCCTGGTGCTGGAGCGTGTGAAGGGAAAACAGTGTGCTGAACATAGAGACTAGTATTTAGTTCATCCAGAGAATTTTGCCCAGTTGTCAGTTTGAATTCTTTTTGCCAAAGCGGTGGGTAAAGGTTTAGAGAACTGGTTCCCAACCTGTGGGTCTCTACCCCCACTAGGGGTCACTAAAGCTTCACAGGGGGTCGCAAGGCCTTCTTGACTTAAAGGGGTGTAAGAAAACTTTTTTAAGCAGCCATTCCTTCATTTTTGTACAGAAAACTAAATAAAACTGTTACTTTTTTAACTTAAAATTATTATTCAAGATTAAGACTTAAGAGAGCTTCACTCCTGCTTAAAAGCCTAAAAGCATGAAAAAGAAATACGTTTGACATAGAAAAAAAAACTACAAGACAAAGTCAGACAAATAAAAGCCTAACACAATGCACACAATAGATTATCCTTGAGGAAAAGATTAATGCCATATATGCAGCGGTGAGTGCTACGTTCTTAAGACAAGACTGAGAGTATAATGTGTGCACACAGTAGCTCACCTGTCGCTCCTCCTCTCTATGCTATAGAGGCAGATGGAGCAGTCAGCTCTGAACAGGATGACCATGTCTCTGAACACGTTGAGCAACAGAGTGTCTGAGTGCAGCTTGGTGACAGATGCAAAGGCGTTGTCCAGGTTGGATGAGCGTTGATAGAGCCGCAACTAGTGTAAACAGGGAGAAGAGAGGGAGAGGTTGTAACGAGACTTTACACAAGTAGAATGACGATGACTAGAAGGAAATAAGGGCATTTATATGAAATAGTGGGGAAGTGAGTAAGTGGTGCTTCAGTCTCACCTGCTCTTGCTGGTCTGTAAAGTTGTAACAGGCCACCACCACATAGTCCTTCCACCAAGCCAGACCTCCTGTCACTGTCATGTTCTGCTCCTATAGGGAAATGCAACAACACAGGTTAGAATTATTTACTTGTGCACAAATATATCAAAACTTTTCCCAGAGGTAACACTTCCCTATCACCAGTTGTTCATTGAGAACTTTACTTAAGTCCTTCAGAGAAGGTTACATGTTATTTATGTTTCAGTCTACAATGTCACATACCTGAGTGATGTTTCCAAACAGCTTCCATTTCCTTGTAAATAAGGAGTAGTGTGCAAAACCCCGCCTCCCCGCTACAGCCATGCACTGGCCTGCTGTGTCTATGGCTGCAAACTGTACACACACAAACACACAGATTTCCATAAGGCAAATGATATGTCATGTATTGACACAGATTAAAAAACACACACAGAAAACTTAAGTTTTATAGACATTTTTATTGGCTACCAGTACACTGACATATTGACAAGTCTAGTTTGTTTGTATAATCATCTATCATATAAAATGGGCTTTATAGGCTCACAGCAGCAGCTGTTCCCGACCCAACCCGAGCTCTCCGACACGAGACGGCAAATTTGACTATACCTTACTTCTATACATTTTCTCTCGCTCCCACACCTTGTAAAACAATAATTCTGCTTATGTACACACTTGTGAACGCAGCATGGTTAGTTTACTTTGTAAACATTACTGCTCTGTAAACGTAGCAATATCGCAGCTTCAAGAGTCTGAGCACACATGGGTGAAATGATATCTGTACATAATGTTTGTAGCATCAGATGCCCATGTGTCCCGGAGGCAAAATGACATACATACACACACACACACACACACACACACACACACACACACACACATTCCCATACTTACCCGAATAGGCCAGTTGCTCTCTAGGTATGTGCTGTGAATCTAGAGGAACATAAACATGCCATGAGAAATACAAGATAATAACTATACCTCAATCCACTGAACAAGGCTGCAATGAAATATAATATTCTACCAAGAAATATTTCAAAACTCTTGCCACTGGTGTATAACTCCAACTAAACCAGGTGTGATGACTGTGCATCCTTACCTGGACCACGTGCCAGTGCTTGTGTCCCAGTAAAGTGCTGAGTCCCTGAGAGAGAGAGGAGTCGGGGTTGGGGGGATGGTGCAGCGGGCTGCCGTCGTGTGGGTGTAAGTGTGCGTGCGGGTGTGTGTCAGAGGTGCTGTGGACCTGCGAGGGGTCACCGCAGGTCAGGTAGAGGCGGTCTTCACCATGGAGCAACACCTGTTCCTGGTTACTCTGTATTATGGAGGGAGGAACAAACAGCATGAATGTTTAATGCGTGTGTGCGTGTGCGTACGTGTGTATTCACAAACACTGATGTTGTGTTTCCTCTCACCGTGCAGGGGTTGACTGTGAGGGCACTCTTGATGAAGTGGAACTGCAGTATGCCGGCCTGCAGCGAGGGGTGAGAGGGTGTGTCCATGTCCTCCTCCTCCTGCTGCTCTTCCTGCCTCTTCCTATCCTGTTTGTAAGGGAGCACCCAAAGGTGGTAGCCCTCTGCTCCCCAGCTCTGGAAAGGGGGAAGTGCAAGTCAGTATGCATGTGTAGGGAGTTCAGTATCATTATCCCTTAAATAAGCATTAAAATTCAGGACTTAAATATCTAGATATCCTTTTTTATGTTAAAATGTAGATGGTGTGACAGTAACAAACAGATCCACTTGCCATAGAGCTGATTTTAATGGGGTCTTTCTTGGTACCATCAGAACGATACCTGAGGAGAGGACACAAAAAATAAACATGAAAAAAAAAAAACCAAGAAAAAGGTTGATGTGAATTCACACTGAATGAAGGTTGTACTAGTGCATTTGTGTGTACACCTACGCAAAGTCCTCTCCCAGAGTGCAGATGAGGTGAGCTCCGAAGACACTCCACAGCGACAGGCCGCCACACTCCCATGTAACCATGGCAACGCTGTAGTCAGGTGACCAGCAGATCAGCTTGACTGGGCCCGTCTTGTTATAGGTGTCTGGACAAGCAAAGAATGCAGATACGTTATTAGAGCTCACAAAGCTTTTCTTATAGTTGTACTTAAAAATACAAAAGTGAATGTTCTGCAAATGGTGCGATGGAAGCACTGTCTCATATTTGACACTGAATCAAGTTATACTGTGCTCTTCTTTATAGAAGGGTAATCTGGGAACATTGTCAAACACCCCTTGTTTTATTCACACATGTTGTAGTTTGTGGCCAAGATTCTTTTTGTGCACTGAGCTTATGAATATCTGGCCTTTTACTAGCAGGACAGGACAGAGCTTGATATTACAGAGAGATATTACTATTTGATGAAAACTCTGGCAGTAGCTGTGCAAACTGTTTTATAATGCACTTTCCTTTTGCCTGCATGCTAGCTCGAAATAACTTTTTATTTCCACATGGATCACAGCTTTCTAGAGCGTGACTTTCTGATGAAACACAACTTAATTAACACAGGATCTGTTTTTGGACTGAAAAATAATAATAAAAAAGTAACTGAGATCATCACTATTGGAGAATGCTGCTTATATTTTGTTTTTTTTTATGCACTGCAAACAAAATAAGACACATTTAAGACGATGCAGGTGTTCAAATATTAGTGCTAAGATTTAATTGTACATCAAGAGGATAAACCAGGGTTTCTGCTGGACTAAATTTAAGATTTTTTAAGACCTTTTTAATAACACACAGAATGCATTTTAAGACCTGTTACACAATCATTCTGCCCAAAGTATAAAAGTACAACGGAAAACCAGTAACGGTGTAACAATACATTGATTTGCATCCGTATACTGATTCAGTGATCAACAATCCAATATCATCTGTGCTAAGTGAAAACATTAATACATATAATCATCCTTAAGATGCACCTTTATTGCGAAATTCCTATGGCGTCTATGTATGTGTCACTAATCTCGTCCAAGCACACCTACTTCCCAAACAATCTAACAGTGCTGGCGCCAGGGCATGGAAATGATATGTACTGATAGTGTTTCATATCAATCACAGGCCCCTGAATCGAATCCAGTCGAAATTGTGTCCTGACAAACTGTGTGATATCAGCAAATATTGTATCATTGTCCAAGAATGTAATATCATTTTGTGATGAATCTAGGGATATACATCGCTAAAAACCAGTAGGAACGATACACAATCCCGCTTTTAGTTTATGAGTGTGTCACATCTTGCGGCAGCCCATAATCAGATACAAAAGCATTCTATAACTAATATTACTGCCTACAGAGGGCAAGAAAAAAAATACTTAAGACTTATGTAAATTAAATTTAAGACATTTTAATACCAACTAAGGCCGTTTTTGCATACACTAAACTGTTTAAGACTTTTAAAGACCTGCAGATACCCTGGAAACTGATAGACTGACTGTTAGAATTGTGATGGCTCTCTTGCCAGTTCCCCCACTAGGTGGAGCTATGGCTTTATGTCCAATTACAGGCGTCTGACTGAAACAGATGTGACCTAGGGGGAAACGCAGGCATGTGCACCCAAGAGAGAGACAGCTGAAGGAATGCAAGTTATCTCATGCAGGAATGTGTGCAGGGCTGTGACACAGAGAGACCACAAGGAGAAAAGAGTGAGATGGGGCGTATGTGCTGTGATACCTGGGTAGTGTTTTGGCGTGAGCTCCAGTTTGTGGGACAACTGCATGGATCCTGTCGTGGTGTCTATCATGTACACCAGCACTGAGCCGCTGTGGTGAAAACAAACACATTTTAACGGCCATAATTTGTTGCCTGGGGGAGTAAAGGCTGTGGGGTAACACACATAATCAGAAACAGCTACTACAAGTGACCTGTGGCTGTAATTTGTAGCAGAGCCTCCAGGCTACACCTCTTGTTGACTGCACATACACACAGGTAAATACATCTATACCAACAACAGAAGAACAACTCAAGGTCATTATTTCTGTTGTGTGTGTGATTACAAATGATTAATCACAGAGGCTTAAATCTAATTTCTTCACTAAAGACTGTTTGTTAACCTCTTGCTCATTCAGCTGTAAAAATCACAGCGATCTACAACAGCATAACAAGCACTTTTATCAAGGAGGGTTTTCAAAGGTCTATTCAAACAATGTTCAAAAGACTCAGATGAAGAGTGCTGCTTCAGAGAGGTACAACATAGAAGAAGATGAAGGAGGAGGGAGAAGAAGAGAGCGCAATGAGGAAGAGAGATTCCTGCCAACCTGGCAGATTGCACAATCCATTGGGAGTTTCTGACGAGCACACACTAGGTAGGCCTCGGCAAACACAAACTGGCAGATTCTCACACTGGACACACACACACACCGCATGGACAACAATCAATCACTGTAACACACGGATGCAAACAAACGCACACACAAGTTTTATTCCCAACACTGTCCTGTAAAGATACACTCAGAGAGGCAGTTGCAGACACGTACCTGGCACAGCCAAAGGCCATCAGTCTGTACTTGTTGTTGACAGCCACACAGGTGCCATCGGTCACATCTGCTGCCCAGACGCCCTGCAGCTGCTGGACACGCACACAAAACATTTATGAATAGCTGAATGTGTGTAGGATGGCAGTTGCAGGTCAGCCGAGCGTGTTTCCCCTGCTGTTTCCTTTAATCACATCACTTATATTTAACTTCAAAATGAGTTGATTAGTCTAAATCAAACTCTACAGCAGAGAATGAACATAGTATCAGCAGACGGCTTGGTCACGATTTTGATTTGACATTTATATCTGGACACATTTGTATCTTGATGGTGACCTCAACACCCACTTTCCAATTTCAAGAGCATCATTTCAGCCAAAAATTTAGAACAACGCATTAATGGTGAGCTTCTCTTGCGTTCTTGGATGTGAACAGATATCTTACAGATATCATTACTGCTTAGCTCCTGCCAAAATAACGCAATAGCCACAAGCCCTGTATTGAATCATATCATCATGACATTAATAAAATAAATCTTCAATAAATCCTCAATAAAAATATTGTGCTGGCCTTTTTATAAAATTTGAAAGCCTGTTAACTTGATTATGTTGCATCATGAGTTACTTGTTTCTGTGTATCTCTCCTCTGAAACATTGAGGTTCGGGTTCTCTTGTCATAAAATTAAACTTAACACAAAAAGAAAATTCATTAACAGCTCTATTACTTATCTTAAAACTTGTATAAAACCCAAAGAGAACACAATATGTTCACTTTGCTTCAATTTATCTATTACTTACTCCATTAGTCTTTATATCTGATCCTTAACTGATACCCAAATTGGAGCCATTCCTCAAAAGTCAAGGACAAGATTCAATTTATTCACAGAAAAATCAGTATACAATCCGGGATTTTCCTGATTAAAATAGGACAGCGGTGATTCCTGATGTCATGGGGTCGGATGATGCCATATGCTGACATGCATATCGGTGGCCTAAGTTATAGAGCTGCCTTCAATGCCATAACTATTATACATTTTCCATAATCTGGGTTTGGATCCTGTGTTTGCTCTTTAGTAAACTGTGTGCATGTTTAAACTTAGTGTGTGTCTGTGAGTATTCTTACATCTGCTGTGATGGTGTTGCTCAGTGGTGTGATAAAGCCCAGGCGCCCATCACTCAGTACCACAGCGAAGCCGTCCAGGGTCACACAATACTCCATACAACGGATATGCACTCCTTCCAGGTCAAGAGAAGGACCACCTACACACACATACAGAAGCTGAAGTATTCTAATGGCTGAATCTGGAGCTGAAGTTAATTAAAACATTGGACAAGGTGGGGGCAACTGTGGCCAGAACATGTATGTGCTTATTTCCCAGCATTAAAAAGTGACTGAAAACTTTGTCAACTAGCATAAAGTCTGCTCTCTTCTCCTGTGTTTAGCTGTGTGCACGAGTCCTCTCTAACCTCGAGCAGACTGCAGGTCTAGCGAGAAGGGGATTGTAGTGAGGCAGATGGCCTTGCGTCCGTTGCTGCCCAGCCCGTCCCAGTGCAGCACGTGGAGGTAGCCGTCTGCGGTGCACACCAACAAGTCCTCCTGGAGGGACTGCAGACTGGTGGGAGGAAGAAGAAGAAACACAGAAATGAGCGCTGAGGTCCAAAAGACAAGAAAGAAACTGTGGAGAAGGAGGTAGTAAGAGACAGAGCAGGCAGGGACGGTAGGTAGGAAGAGTGGGAACAAGATAACAAGCAGCAGTACTGGGAAACAGTGGACTAGTCATCATCCAGCTGTGTCCTCTGAGTGGAGCCTGAAACTTTTACCCTCCAGCTGTGATGAGGCCATATAGCTGCCAATGCCAACTCTCACTGTCTTCACACAAGGGAACAAACAATAGTGTGTTTGTATTTGTGTGTGTGTAAAACGCTTCATTGTCTTTCAAATAGCACGAGAGGTCGAAGATGGCACAGTGAGACAAGCAAGAGGAGGAAAGCAAGAGCGAAATGACAGGGAGTTGAGGGTGTCGAGCACAGTGGATTTTTAACTGTGAAGCAGGCAACAACTTTTACTGTAGTTTCACAGCAGGAGACACCCACTCATCTCCTGCACAATCAAGCTGTGCCTTTGAAATGCCAGCAGAGTGCTCTCATTCAGATGACTACTCTATAATCTCTGTCAAGTGCACACAGTGGAGGAGATGTGACAGATGAACACGAGGACATGAAGGATGCGAACAATACAAACACAAGATAAACAAAAATACAGACAAAAAGAAGAATAACTCTTTTCACTCAGCAAACAAAGACGCTGAGTTGGAGGGTGTGGGGGTGATAATCAGGACGCTGAAAAACTAGAAGAAGACAAGACACTCAAAAAAGAACTGCAATTAGCAAAGACTGAACCACCACACAGGAAGAAAACAAGACGGACGTAGACACTGCCTCTTATCTAACAGACTCCAGGGTTTTTCTTTGGCTTTAATAATTTCTTCTCATCGATGTTGCTATAATTTGGGGACTTGGTTTTAAAGCCCAGACACACCAAATTGACATTAAAGAACTGGTGGCAACAAAGGCCGACTGTTGTGTTGCCTCACATTGCCTGTTCATGTCAGTTTGGACATGGACACACCGCAAAGACTACACCCAACAGCCAACTAGCATGTATGCTCTGCGCCTACATGAGAAGAAATGACCTTCCACACCAGCAGGTGGTGGTAGTCTGTGGTCATCATTCAAAATGGGAAACAAGAAGACCAACAGGACGGATTCAAGAAGCTAGTTAGCCCATTAGCACATTAACAACGCAACCCAATGTTAAAAGAACTAGTGATATTTACTGTTTGCATGCAAACTAAGATAAACCACAACGAACAGTTTCTGCTAAAGACGTCAATGGCAAAAAAAAAACCCTCATCTAATGTAACAAATGTTTTGAACGCAAGCCTTCTTGACTGAAGTTCCTCATGCACTGATTCACTTCAGTTGAATGGCCAAGAGTGTATCAGAGTGATTCCTCTCACCGATGGGCTCTGCTGCCGATTCATCCTACTGAATTGGCTGAAAACAGCCAACAAGGGCCAAATAGTGCCAACAGTGTGGGACACACCACACAAACTAGGGCGACAGACGCTAACCGATGGCCTGACATTGACCAATTGTTGGCTTGGGGTTTAAGGGCCCTCAGAGATCCTCATTTAAACCGCCAAGAGCTTCTATGGTAAAAATGACAGGAGTTTTTTTTCCATATTTATTTCTAAGTGCACAGTCAACTTATAATAGGCCTGAAGGAAAATCAAATGATTCACTTAGGTACACTTCAGATGCTGAGAGGTGGCAGGCCTGAGCGCTATGCATTGCAACAGGTAGGGGCTGAAAATATATCTGTCTTCATACAGGTGGTGCTGATTTAAAAATGTAAAAATCAGCTTAATCCACCAAAATGGTGACAAGTCTTTCCTTCAATTATCATTTTACGTAGCTGACTACGAAACGCAGAAGACAAAACAGAAACACATTCACATTCTGAATTTGTAACGAGCGAGCATGAGGTAACAAGACAAGCAATCAATCTCACTGAACCAAATTACCAACATGCCTTGTTTGTCATCTGAGTAAATACTGTCAAGAAAACACGAGGCTGATTTGAATCAGTTATGCTCCAAGCAACAAAAATTAAACCAAAATTAAAATAGTTCCTTCTGTCATCCTTTAATCAATCATCACTAAACCCTTCCACCCACCTCTATTCATCTGCCCATCACTCTCCTCTCTCCGAGTGCCCCTCCATCTCTGCAGATTCCTGTATTTCTCTCTGCAGGCCTTTGTGTTGAAAACTGACAGAGTGGAGGAGCTTAGCCTCTCACTGCCAATGTTGACTTTCCATGAGAGGAAGGAGAGAATTTTTCAAGTTTTTACTCTGAGCCAAATGCCCTTCACAGCCGCACAAAGAGCAGGTCACTTTTAACAGCTGCAGCTATGATGGAAATTCTTGAAATATCCACTGGTGAGCTGTGTGAGCTAAGACAATGTAACTGCAGTTTAAATCCTAAGTGTAAGCTACAAGTTTTAAAATGTACAAAATGTATAAATCCACATCAGTAGTGGTAAATCTATATCAGGAATAACATGACATTGTTCTGACTTGTAGTTTTTAACGGTTTTAATGGGAGACATCTTGCCTGACATGAACTATTTGAAATAAGAAGCTGTGCACCAGTGCAGCAATTGTGCTGTCTCTTAGTTTGCAGGAAGCTCTCACATTAAAATACATAGTGAGCATATCTTTTGGTGGTTATAGTGTGTAACGGCAGCAACAGAAATTTTTCTTATCCTGCGGGGTGTCAGATAAGCCAGGACGTCAGCTGAGTAAGCAGCCTTCAACTGGCCCAGTACACCTTTACCCGTTTTCTTCCAACATGGAACCTAATATTAACTGTTCAGACCATTTTGACCAAAAATAAATTAGTTCAGAACCTGTTGTTCTCAGCTAGAACCAAAAAATAGCAAATGTTCCTTGACCTGAGGTAATACTTGGTCCATGTTTGTAACACATCCTTGATTACAATGGTTCCACCCAAAATTGGTAAAGGCTTGTAGGCTTGTTCACTAGATAGCACCAAGGTTCCATGAGACTTAACCAGTTCACGGACCAGAGCTAATTTGGTGCAAGTGGGGCATTAAGCATACACACTGCTAGAGGAATGTGGCCATATGCAGCCCAGACTCCCTCTGAATGTGGTCTCTGTGATCAGATCTCAAGATGCATGGAGGACACGTCTGGTGCACTCACACCTGTACTTTGAGATGTCTACTTGTGATCCAGTCACCCAAGATGCATGTTTATACTAGGTGTATACAGGGCCGATATGAGGGAATGGCAGACGGGCAGACACAACAGAGAGAAACACAAACAGGGAGAGAACAACAGAGAAAGAGACGAAAGGATGATATGACTCTTTCCTACCTGGTGATGGGGGCCTCCAGATCCACAGGCTTCTTCATCTCTAAAGACAGAGCGGGGGCACATTGCTCCTCCTTGTAACCCGGGGTCACCTTCACACGAGGACTTCCTCTGTACAACACACAAATATGTATATTTGTGTGATGTGTAAGGAAAACAGTTGAAATCCAGAAAATGCAACTTATTTTTAACTTGGAGCTGAAAAAGATAGCTGAGCATGCCCTGACTTGCCTGGTATGCTGTCAAGGAATGTGAAAGACACATATCCGCACACACTATTGACACACCGGCATACAAACACCACATACACACAAGGCATGGACATCGGATACAAAGCACAACGGAAGCACTGGTAAAAGAGACAGAAAAGCATGCAGACACCCCTTTGCACACACGTGTGCGTACTTTAGATCTAGGGTCGTTTAGAAAGCCTTCCCAGGAGATCGGAGGCTGTTAAAGCAGCATATTGATTCCTCATGCTTTGACAATGAGATACTCATTAATCAGATATGGATGTTATATTGCCATGTCCATGTAGTGTATTTGTCACCTTTATTAACCAGTGATGGCTACAGCAATTAGCAGCTAAAATTTTCCTATCTGCCTTTATCAACCATGTAAGCACAGGAAATGATGTATTACATATTTAGTCAAGAGCAAACACAATATTACATAAGAGGATTAAGTAGCAAAGCCCTAATGTATTCCTACTGGCGTAGTTAACCAGCTGCACTGACAGACAGCTGCCGGGTGATTGCTAACGAGACAAACTGCAGCAGGCAAACGATCCCGAAAGAGGGGGGAAAAAATGCAGTTGACACTAAGTGTTTATATAAATCAATGCTGTGGTTGTTTCTAACCAGCAGTGTCATTGTAATTTGTCATGTGCAGTCATAACACCAGCACGTTAGCAGGGCTAATATTGGGACGTCCACTGTTTCAACTGTTCAAATGTAACCCTAAGCAGATACAGCTAACATTCAAGACTGATATAGCATGCATATTAATGATGGTTAAATGGCTCTTGAAGGACAAATGATTTCTTGATGGTAGGGCTGGGCAATCTATCAGTATATCGATACTGTGATACGAGACTAGATATCTGAAGTGTTGTCTTTTCCTGCTTTTAAAGGCTGCATTACAGTAGAGTGAAGACATTTTCTGAACTTTTAATTATTACAGTCAACCCTGTAATATCGATATTGAAGTATTTGGTCAAAAATACTGTGATATTTGATTGTGTCCATACCACCCAGCCCTTGTTGATGGTGTAACTTCCCTACAAGCTACAGCTTTGCCAGCTCTGCTCCCTTTACCTCGGCATATGTTTATCAATATGTATGAGAGTTTGTATGCGTGCTGTACTCACTTTGGATAGACAGGCTCATAGAGGTACTTGTCATCCCCTCCACCCAGCACATCAAACAAGAGGATGTAGCCCTTGGCAGTCTGAAAACAGAGAGAAAGAACCGTCATTAAAAAAAACATCAATACAATTGCTCAGCCACTACTTTATTATCAGACAGAGAGATGGAAAGAGAACACACAAAAAAAATCCACGACATGTTCGAGATAAAGAAACTGTAAAATGGATGGAGATGCAAATGGGGATTTAAAAGGAGAATTTAATATTTTATACTTTGAATGTCATCGCAAATTTGCAAAGCTGCTCAGTGCCTGTTGAGGCAGCAAGAGAGAGAATTAATGAGAAGACAGGAGGAAAGAAAAAGGGTTCATCAGTAAACAAAAACATCATCTATTACCATCATAGAGGAGATGGCAACAGATCAATATTAAGCTGTGTGTCCTTGTTAAAATGGGACCTTCTAATCATGCTGGTAATCTCAAGAAAACAAAATCCACACCCATACTGTTTGATGTGTCTTAGAGGAGTCCATGCTTTGACAAACAATTATAGTAACACTATGACTACTTGCATTTTAAGATATTTCATGTTTTTCTCTATCTCCTAGCTATGAGTTACAAATGGGGAGCATTTGCAACTCAACAGCTGTCATAGTTAAGAAAATATTTGTATGCAAAGGGAATTATGGTTGACATTCCCCCGCACTGCACAATCCTGAGCAGGCTGAGCTGTTGCTGATAATGATGCTCCAAAACAAATTTGTCAGCATTTTAAAACAGTCGAAACACTCGCTCCAGGCTTCCCTCTGTGGGGAAGCTCACACTATCTACAATGTCAGGATGTTAGTAAAACACAATACTTGTATGTGAGTACAATACTGAAACACTGCTTTTTCCACAACAACTCGCACATATGCAGACACACAGTGCTGAAACTGAGCCCGTAGACTGAAACATGACACGAAACCTGATCTTAACTCCACTGTCTGCAGCAATGCAGCATGGGTTTACAATGGCTACACATAAAGGGACTTCATTTATGCAACAGAGTCACCTAGAGTGAGCTTAATGCACAACCCATTATTCTACTCTTTACAGTATTTTTCCGGTTATGCTTCACTGTAGGATGATGTTTTGCTCATACTATTATTACTATTATAGTTGGTGGCAGAGCACTCGAGTAACCCTTGACTTTTTGAGAGTGGTGACACTGTTTTGAGTAGCAGGCCAACACATTACCATAGCAATAAGAAAACCCAAACCAGAGAGGCTGGAGCCAGCAGCAACATGAAGCTTGACTCGAAAAGAGCAGCCACAGCCAGAGAAAAGACAGAGCCAAGCTGAGGCCTGCTAAACCCATCAACAGCCTTGGAGCTTCACAAAGACGCGGATGAGCTACAAAGTCAAAAACTGCCGAACAACAACAGTCCAGCCTGCATCAAATCTACTTAAAAAAATAAAATAAATGCCAGTTGTCAGTGACTCAAAAGTTTGTAATGCTTGTGCTGAGGAGTGTGCAACTTGTCAGCATAAAGCCTTTTGATCTTTTAAATACAACATATCTAAATGTGAAAAAATACACTTTAAATCTACATACAGGTTCAACATATTAATTATAGGGTAATGTTGAGGACTAATTATATAAAGAACAACAAAGGTTAACTGTGATTATGGTCATTTCCAAAAAATCATGTACAGGTTGTGGCTCAGTATTCAAATTAGTTTTTTAATGCGGATTGTGATGAAAACACCATAAGGGTCTGTGTCCACATAGTGGTTTTTTTCAACTGTTCCCAATGAGGAGAAAGTGTATGCAGCTGCCTCAAGAAAAAACACCATGTCGAAGGTCTCTTTTTCAGATCGCTTCGGCTTTTTGGTGCAGCTGATCCGAGCACCCCCAGCTGGAAATCTCAAAACTTTTCAGAAAAGCGCTGACGACAGCACTGCTGCTCCTTTAGCTAGGCTACTGTCTAACTGTCACAACAAAAACAGAAAAGCCCATTTCTGGGAGAAGATCAGCGGGACACTGAATGTTGCTGGTGAGTCTTGTACTTTTATCACTGTAGGCGTTGTCAGCTTGCTGTTAGCTGTGTAGTCAACCCTCTGTTAATGTAGCGTTATGTTAGCTACCTGGCTTACATTAATGTCCAGATACTGTAATCATAGTCACAAAACCCACATGTGGGATGAAGCACTCCCAGTGCCCTGCCACCACTTCTCTGCCAAAGGAAAGCGCTATGTGGACATACACAATAAGTCACACAGTGAATTTCCATTATCCAGATTAAGACTGTTTATTTTTCACTCAAGAGGATGTTCACAAAAAAGATGTGTCCTATTTGTGATGCATAAAAAATCTGTTTCCTACAACTAAATGTCAGGCAAACTGATTCCAGTATGTTTCAGTGCCATTTTAAGAGATGACGATAACTGATGGTGACCATAGTGATATCAGCATGGATTTCAGTTATTATGGCCAGGATAATCATGACATAAAAATTTATATCATCCCATACCTAATTCAAAGCTTCATCTCTGACACTAAAAATATTTAAATATTACAGTTCAAATATTTTTAATGAGACAGAGATCAATGACAGGGTACATATACATATTAGCAGTCAGCCATCAGCCGCTCAGACCCAGATGGGGTGAGCTGAATTACTGAGCTGACGTCACACTATATGAAGTCACCATCTTTTATTGTAGGCAATACTCACAAAACTAGATCCCCATGTTAATGCTAAACTGCTAAACATGATGAAAGTGATACTGCACATGTGTGCACAAAATCACCATCTTTCAAAGACATCACTAACAAAAAATGACGTGATAATTAACTAAATCACTGTCAGTAAAGTTTGGTGTGATGAACAATGATATTACAAACAAGGTGCTACTGATTATAAAGTGCCTGTAACATGACCTTTACTGTCTAAGTGAATCACAGACTTGGAGGAGATACAATCACTGTTACACTGACTTTAGTGTGTTGTGAAAAGTTTTTTGCACAGATAAAATAGCCACCTCAACATATTCACATAAGCACTTTATATATAGCTCTAGATGATCACAGTAGGACACAGTCTCATCACAATGACCTAGTTAGTTAATATAGCCCAACATGCTCATGCTGTCCACATAAGAATACAAATAATAATTGTAGAGCGTGTATCTGCTACGTTGAGTAGCAGACAGTTTTTCCTCACTCCAATAGACAAATTTGTGCAGTGGAGTGAGGAAAACTGTCTGCTACTCAACGTAGCAAAAACAAAGGAGACTGTGGTGGACTACAGGAAGAAAAAGCCTCCAGCTTCTCCTGTCTGCATCAGTGGGAGTGACGTGGAGATTGTGGAGCAGTACAAGTACCTGGGTGTCCTACTGGACAATAAACTTGAATGGTCCACAAACACAGAGGCAGTGTACAAGAAAGGCCAGAGTCGGCAGTATTTTTTGAGAAGGCTCAGGTCCTTTAATGTATGCAACAAGATGCTGCAAATATTTTACCAGACTGTTGTAGCTAGCACTCTTTTCTTTGCTGTGGTGTGCTGGGGGGCGGGTGTTAAGAAAAAGGATGCCAACAGGCCAAATTCAATAGGATCATATACAACACCACCCATCCTCTCCATAAAATACTGGACACACTCAAGAGCACATTCAGCACCAGATACAGACTCCGCCGCTGTTCAAAAGAGCGCTACAAAAAATCATTCATACCCACAGCAATACAACTGTACAACTCCTCCCTCCGATCAAATTCATATGCACTTTGAACCATTCTCCTTTTTTTTTTTTTTTTACAAAGACATCTATTGTACTGTTTTTATACACCTTTTTATACCTTTTATTCACACCTTGTGATCTTATGTACTTTTAGGATTTTTCTTGTGTCAGTATGTGTGCTGTGTTCTTGTGATTTGTGTCTTTTTTGTCATTATTGCCCCTGCTGCTGAGGACATTTTAAATTTCCCCCTGGGGATTAAATAAAGTCTATCTATCTATCTATCTATCTATCTATCTATCTCCACCATGGCTGCACAGTTCTCCATATTTGCTAAATCAATAGGAAATATTTAGATTTTTTTTTTATCTACATCTGATTCCAGATCTGCATCTAAACAGACTTATATTATATACTATACTTATTAGTGAGATTTTTAGACACATGTGCATCTCACAAATACACACTTTTGCATACATATAAATGACAAAACTGAATAAAGAAATTAAAACAGGGAATTAAACAGAAATGGCTGCAAAATTGTCAGTGTATTCAGTTTTCTCATGGGCTGAAACAATGATGGAACTTAAACTCATCCCTTGCAGAAAACCAATATAACAATGTAAAAATATCCCATTACAGGTGAAACGCTGCATTCAAAATCTTGCTTAAGTAAAAGTACATAAGTATTATCAGCAAAATCTATTTAAAGCATCAAGTAACATTACTGGTTCTGCAAAAAATGCCTTGTTACTGTGATATTGTTTTATATGACAATATGAGCTTGCTAAAACTGATGCTACAACGTGTCAGGTAGTTTAGTCCAGCTGCCCCTCCTGAGGACCACCACATAAACCTGAGGGGTCATGACATGATTAATGGGAGAGTAAAGATGAAAGTTCTGCTACATAAATGTGTTTTTATTTTTTGGAGTATTCACATTCGATGGTTATTAAATGAAACCATCTGAGAATTTTAGAAGAACTCCTAACAACTCACAGTGATCCTACCAGATGTTTTTTTGTAAGGGGCCAAATGGCTGGTTACTACTGGTTTAATTTTGACAGTGTGTTAAGTTTTACCTTGTGTTTTTAATGTTAAATCTTAATCTGTATCTATAGCTCTCTAATACATGCAGTGCAGTGAAACTGGAACTCAGAAATGCAGTAGAGTGCAAGTATAAAAGTAACAAAATGGCAAGTACCTCAAAATTTTTACTTAATTACAGTATAGTTCTTGAGAAAATCTACATTTAGTTACTCCCCACCAGTTTTTAATTGGCAACCATCGTCAGCAGAACAGTGCACAGGCCAGCAGAAATACTCTATCCTGCATATATCCAGTTATAAGATGGAAAGAAAGT